AAAAGTAAAGTGAGGTCTCTGAGTTTTGAGGATTGTTGGTAAATCCACTAAATATAATGATAGATTCTGATATTTATGAGTTTACCTGGTCTGGTGTGTTTTATTTTTGCATGCAAGTCATCATTCACTCAGATGTGAGGTGCGTTTACAAGATGTTAACTGTGTTGTATTGAGTGTACGTCTTGCATATCGTCTCCGTTCTCACTGCCTTTTTCTGTGTTTTTGTTCTGGACTCTGTAGATCCGGCGGTACAAAGCCAGCACTGCAGTCATGGAGAAAGCGAGCGACGTCTACAACAAGTTAAAACTTCGCTTCGTGGGCAAAGGAGAGGTGATGGCTAAACCGAAAACAGAGAACAAGGAGCCAGAGGACGACGAGAAGGAGACACAGAACGCAGGTAGAAAGCCACCTTTTGGATTTGTTTCTGTGATCTGCGTTCTACAGCAGCTGTATTTCATCATCAGGCTGGTTTACTGGCTTTTGTTTGTCCTGCGCGCTCACATACGTCTGAATTGACCTTTTTGCAGATTCCACACCAGTGAATGGAGAATCGGAGCAGGAGAAGAACGACATGGAGGTCGAGGAAAAACCAAAATCACCGGCACAGGAGGAGAACAACGACGAGACCGCTTCGAGTCCAAACAGGTGAGCGTCTCGCATGAAGCAGTTCAGTATGACGTGTGCAAAGACGGGTGAGCTGAGGGCCGGGCTGCTATGAAACGAGCCTCAATCCAGAAATCATGAAGGTGGCTTTCTTTTAACCTCCTCGATCACCATGGCAACAGATGCTGCAGAGTTAACTTGCTCTGTTCAGAGTTTCAGATTTGTTTCCTGAACATTTGTAGCTGAGAGTTTTATCTGCAGACCTGTTGAGCTGCACGTTGCTAATCCGTCTGAACGAAGCCGTGCAGTTACAGCAGCTCAAACTGTCTGTTACCACACATACCTACAAGCATTCAGGTAGTGATGCAGAAAACTCAGAAATAGGTCTTTATGCTCAGTGCTGACTTGCTGCACAGCGCCGGTGCTGCAGCTCATAGAGCACCGATTAGAAAATTGATGAGTTCATTGGTTTTTACCACAGATAATATTCAATCAGTGGAAATAATATGACTCTGATTTAGTCAGAAACTAAAACATATCCTTCATTATGGGACAGCGTCAGACCTGAATGCACTTCTTTAACGTTATGTTTAGATGAATGAAGTTTAATTTTTAAAGAGCTCTAACATGCAGCTGTCGTGTTAGAAATAATCAGCTGCATTGGGAGTCACTGAGTGGTGAAATAAACATATTAGTTTATATGATTAACTGTTGTCAAGCTGCATGTCTCTCTTACATCATGTGCAACACTTTTAACATGAAGAACTTTTTATATTCAACAGCTCTCTATTATAGCAGCCTGTAGACTGAAGTAGGCAGCAGAGGGTCGGTCTGTTTTATGTGGAGGATGATGCCTTAAAGGCCTCATTTTATGTGAACCTGGACAGAGTCTGGGTTAACAAAGAAAGCTGATAACTACCACAGTGATACCGTCATCTCTGATTTAAGGTTTTGTTGAGCCAGATAACACAAACAAAGCCTGGATATGTTGATTTGTTTCGAGCCCTCAGGTGTCTTGAAAAATGAGTAAAACAAGGCTTTAGGTAGAAACAACAGCCTGCCATGTTAGAAATGTGACCCGTTTGTTAGCATCATGGAGCACACGTGAGCGTCGTTCCTTCAGTCACAGCAGCTGTTGTGTGTTTTGTCTTCAGACGGAGCCCAGACAGTCCAGCTGAGCAGCAGACACACACGTATGAAGAAGCAGACAACGCCATCTCCGCCGAGACGGAACCTCCGGCTGTAGAAAGCTGAAAGACCCTTAAACAACCACTGCAGTGGACCAAGTGCTAAAAGATGGTGGCCTCCGTTCGACGTCCTACTCCGCTCCAGCACACACACACACACACACACACACACACACCCACAGCGACTTCCTCCAGTATCTGTTACGTCACCGTTGGTGTTTTGGACATTTTGTACTTCGATGGTATCAAACCAGTTAGCCCCGTTTGGTCCACTATCCATCACAGCAACAAGGAAAGCTTCTTAGCGTGATAGTTTGTGGCGCTGCGCAGACGTCTTTGGTTTCTGAAACGTACTTTTTCCTTTTATACGACACTCTGCCCGTCCTGGATCCTCACCCCTTCCTCCCCAAACTCCTTCTTCTGGCTGCTTTCTTCGTTCTGCCACATGAACTCTTTTTTTTGTCGTTGTTGATCTTTCATACCGTATGTATATTGAATGATTACATTTTTAGCACTTCTAACCGGAGTCTAGGTCTGGGGTAGTATGAGATGAAACTTTAATGAACCTTGCGGGGAGGAAATCGGGAAGAAACTTGAGTCGTGCTGGTTAATTTCTTGCTTTGGAGATTTTGTGCAGCCCTTAACATCCGCCGGCTTTCATTTTGTTATGAAGCCAGCGAAACATCACAAAGGCCTCTTGTCTGTGTGTGGCGTTGTGAGAGTGGTAAAGTACTGTTTGTGAGTCTTTTATGTTAAGTATTTTTTTTTATTATCTGGTTCTTGATCCAGTTAATCCAGTCTGAAATGTAAAGAGTCACTTAAAACTGTTTTTCCACCTGAGGTCCACCTACTTTATTTTTTTTTATAGCCTTGTTTTCAGATAGTCACAGTTTTGTCTAAAATAATAATAATAACTGCTGTGGAGTTGAACACCGTGCACTCTCCTCTCCCCTAGTGTCTGCTTTCAGTAACTTGCATAATAAATGGAATAACCGTACACAGATTGAAAACTGCCCATAAGAAGCTATCGAGATCTCATGTAGCTGCAGCCTATTTTGACATTTTGCTGTCATGTGCATACAACAGGTGTTTTTAGTGCGATGTAAATTGGTAAAGCATTTCTATCACTTTGTTGAGACTTGAATAAAAATCTCAGCATGACTGTGTTTCTATCTCGTTTCCTTGTGTGGAAGAAAAGTGCTTTTAGTTTAGTTAGAAGTGTTGATTTAACAGAGTCATGTTAAGTCAGTGGTGTTCATGGAGCACATTTAAGGAGTGGAAACATAACAAAGGCATGAATTAACCCAACAAGTTCAAGTATTCAGGTTAAGACCCTGCAGCGTTATTTACTGCATGTTATGGATGTAACTGAATAATTTAAAGAATTAAAACTCCACAAAAATTCTATAAAATACAGCTTTACCTGACTGGAGTCATAATCCAAAGATGCTGCTGTGTTTTTATCTACAGAGATGAACCTAAATAAGGCTAAGACCTTATAGAAGTATGAAGAAGGTCAATGAGTAGATTAACCCAACTAACTGAAATATAAAGACTTACAAACTATTATATTCATTATGGAGATTAATGTAACTAATTTAAATATTATGAATAGGGCGCTATGATATTATTCATGGAGACTATCCTGACTAATTCTACTTATTAAGGCTAAGAATCTACAATATTAATAATAATAGAGATTAACCTAACTAATTCAAAATGTAAGGCTAAGCCCCACAATACTATTAGTTATAAAGACTAACCTAACTGATATACATATTAAAACTGAGACAGTACAATATTATTAATGCTAAATATTAACCTGAGTAATTGTTAATATTAAGGCTAAGACTCTACAGCATTAATATTTATAAGGATTAACCTAACTAATTTAAATTGTAAGGCTAAGATGCTACAATATTATTAATTATGAAGAATTACCTAACTGATATACATATTTAGGCTAAGATACAGTAATTAATTAATGATGACTATTAAGCAGACTAATATAAATATTAAGGCTGAGACTCATTAATCATGAAGACTAATCTAATTTAGAGCTAAAGTAAAGACTCTACAAAAACATACAGTACATAAAAAAGTCCAACAAATCCAAGAATTCTCTCGACTCCCAATGAGCAAGGTTTGTTGTTATTTTTTATGTTTCTTATTATAGTTTCATTTTTTATTTCTCTATAATTGTTTTTAATGCTGTAGAACCTTAGCCCTAATATTTAGATTTGTTATGTTAAGATCAATAATTAAGAACAATAAATGAATAGCATGTATTATAGTCAGGAAAAGTATTATTTTATAATGTTTTTGTTGGGTTTTAAACCCCTAATAATATCTCTAATATGTAAATTACGCAGATAAAATCCAATCACAAATATCACAATAAGGTCTTAACCCCAGTATTTAAGCTTGTACTTGTTTGATTTGTTTTCAACATGTTAGATTTTTAAAAATGGTCACCGAACTTCATTGCAATAATTTCTTAAAGTTCAGTCTTCTGTGTTTTGTCTGCAGCTGCTGCAAAACTCCTGACTGGTGCCAAAAATATAGAACCTGTACCTGCACCTCTACCTAGATAGATAGATAGATAGATAGATAGATAGATACTTTATTTGTCACCCAACAGATGGTGCTGGTACAATAAAACAAAAAATGTATTATTATTAATATTATTATTGTTATATTTATATATTAATTTAGATCCTGAGAACAAACTCTGTGTAGTGTTGGAGGTTAGTGAGTAACAGGAGATTTTTTTTTTTTGCAGTAGTTTCAGAACTTTGGAAGAAGCTTCCTCTTTCGATCCAGTGTTCCTCCCACATAGACATTAAAAAAAATCTCATGATGCATCTGGTTTTAATTCCTTTTTTTTGTAGCTGTTAATAGTCTTAATATTTTAGTATTTCTATTATTTTATAAATTGATCTTACAAGCTGCTACATTTTATTGTATTTCTTTATTATTATTTTTATTTTTTTAATTGTGCCAGTCTGATAAGTTGTGCAGAACTCTGGCTGTTGTAAACTCTCTGTATGAATAGTCTGACTGGTTTATTAAGGTGCTGCTTTAATCCGTGTGGTCCCGCAGCAGGCTGCCCTCTGAGGGGCCGGACTGGACCTTTAATTCCGCTCATTCCCACATGAGAAACTCGCATAATAGATCAGCATGTAATACTCCAGTCAGCTGACTCCAGACGCCATTTTGTCAGCCATTTCCTACACTGATCCATTGCCAGCGTCTCTGCACGGCACAGGACGCCCCGTCTGGCCTCCGCTTCAGCTGCCCGGGACTCGGTAAACAGCGGCGGACCCTGCACGCACGGTACCCGGGTGGATGAGACACGGTGTCGCGGGTCGCTCGGCTCCCACTAGACCTCCGCAAGGCGCTCGGCCCCCGCAGGACAGAAGCGGTACAAGTCGCAGACAGACATGGCTTTGAAGATTGTCAAAGGGAGCATCGATCGGATGTTCGATAAAAACCTCCAGGATTTAGTACGTGGCATTCGGAACCACAAGGAGGACGAGGTGAGCAGCGAGCAAACGCCTTCGGCCCAAGCGGTTTTCACTCCGTGTCCGTTTTTTTATTTATTTTTTTTTATCGGTGTTTGTTTGTTTTAAGCTAACACCAGCGGCGGCGGCATCCCCGTTACCGTTGACCAGCTAGCCGACGTTAGTGGCTAACGCTCGGTAAGTTACGGGTCGGCTAGCGTTAGCTCAGTCAGTCCCGCCGCTAGCTAGCAGCTCAGTCGGTTTCAGGAGAGAGAAGAAGAAATAAAAGAATCAAACAGCTGTCTGGGTGTTGATCCACCGCTGCGTTTATTACTGGGCTAGCTGGACTGTTAGCAACTTTAAGCTGTCAGGTTTAAAGCGAGCAGTGACAGCTAGCTAGCAGCCAGTTAGAGGAACCAGACCGCTAGATTACCAGCGTTTACCAGGAGATTACTACCCAGCATAACAACAGTTATACCCATCTGTGGCCTAAGTTATAATTAAACTAGTTCTTGCTACTAGTTTAAATGGTTTAAAGGACCAATTGGAGTCCTATAGTGCAGTTTTCCACTTGTTAGGAAGTGACTGCAGCCGCTGTTTGCTCACTGAAATGTGATTTAACGCATCAGGATGACTTGGTTTCATTCATTACAGTCTTTGGGATAATTACAGTCTGAGCTACACATACAGCCTAAACATCTGAAACCATAAGTTCACCTCTAACTATCAGTGTCATCCCTCATCGTGCTGTTATTCCTGCATTGTTTTACTGCTCTGTGTCCTTTAGTATAAGTCAGCCAGTTCTTTTTACGACTTGAACTGGTTTAAAAGACCAATTCAGGTCCTATAATGTAGTTTTCCACTTGTCTACCGGTGGTTGCAGCCCGTACATTCTGACTGAAATGCTTTTAATGCATCACAATGACTGGGTTTCATTCATTCCAGTCCTCGGGGTAATTGGGAAAGTGATCATTTTTCTATTTTATGCATAAAATCCAACTATTATTCGTGCCAATTGCAGTCTAAACAAGGATAATAGACGTAATTATAGCCTAAACATCTGAAACAACACTAAAGCATTACCTCTTATTGTCACATGTGCGCTTGTCGTCCCTGGTTATTATACCTGCAGTGTGTTGCTGCTCTGTGCCCTACATTACAACTAAAGCAGTTCTTTTTACTATTTGCTTAAAAGACCATTTTAAGGCATATCATGCAGTTTTCCACCTGCCAGAAAGTGATTTTTAGCCTCTACAGAGTGACTGAAATGCATTAAAATGACTTGACTCCATTCGTGTGGGTGACGTTTTTAAAGATAATAGTCCTTGGGATAATTGGAAAAGAGATAGCTTTGTTATTTTAGATGTAAAACACAGATAATAATCATGCTAAATAAGTCCAAACAATGATGCCAGACTTATCACAACCATACAGCCTAAACATCAGAAACAACACCATCATTACTCTGTAAACTGCAAACATTTCTTTGGACATAATTATTTGAATAAAGACTTTTTTTTATCACCACAGATGTAATGTTTTTTTGTTAAATCCAGACAGAAAGATTGATATAAACTAGACAATGCAGCGTTCACAAATATCTTTAAAATGCAGCCGTCATGATAAAAGTCCTGTTGATACATCGATAGCATCTTCATCACAACGCCAGCCGCTTTTTGGCAAGTGGAAAACTGCATTATTGAACTGATACTATAAAAGGTTATAGCGCATCCATTACCCATCTGGAAAACATGTTGATTACAGTCTGGTTTCCAAATATTAATGAGGATATTAAACGTACCAAAAGAATACAGCTCAAATCAGTTACTCGTCTTTTTAGGGCTCATTCATTGAGGGAGACGTATCCAGACATGTAGCCAGTGGATGGATGCTGTGATGCTCTGGTGACAAGATGTTTAATTCCTCCATCAGGTGCACGCTGAGCTCATACATACACCTGTGACTGCGCTCATATCAAAACTGCATCTTACATAAACTTGAAATGACTCAGCCATCCCGTCGGCCATCGGTGATGTCATCGCAGTCACAGCTCTGTGGGTGATGACAAGCCGATCGCAGCATCAGACCGGAGGGGAAGCGGGGTGGGATGGGCCTTCAGAGGGCGCTGTACGGGGCGGCCATGTTTCCATCTCTCACGTCAACCTGCTGCTCTGATGAGCTCTGTGCCGGTGGCTTCTTACCCTGTTGATGCTGTAGAAACGCTGTCAGGTGGTAGCAGAGGGTTGGTGTGAAGTTTGATGTGCAGAGCTGCTGCACTCTGCACACACCTGCCTGTTCGTTGTCAGTGTGGCGAATGCGTGACCATCTCATCAGAAATCCAGACAGGTGCTTCACCGGCAGACCTAATCGCTTATATTGACGTGTTGCTTGTATTATATGTCGCCTCCATGAAGGTGCAACTACAGAAACTGTGTTTTAGATGTAAAAGACAAACCCGTGGATCAGCTGTGTTGTTTAAGGCCTCCAGCTCTTGATCTCTTGATTCAGAGTTCGGTCTGAGCCGCTCACCAGCGGTAACCGAACCCGGCCCGTCTAGATAAGGTGCCGGTTGCCCAGTCAACAGCGGACAGTTTGCTGAAATATTAATACTCTGAGTGTGTGCTCCTGAGCGTGTGTGTTGACTTTTTCCCGACCAGCCCACAGTTTCTCATGGACCGTGTTTGTTTTTCACATGCGTGCTGAGTCTGTGCACACTTCATTCATTCGCTCTCCCGCCCACGCTGTTGGAACAACGGGCATATTGAGGGAAGGTGTGAGGATGTCTTGAGTGTAAATTCATTGAGATTGTCAGTGAGGATTTTAGGCCCGTCGGTAGTTGTTGTCGCTTTGAGGTGAAGATGCAGCGATGTTTGGCATCAGCTGACACTGAGCCGGCTTAGCTTGGAAAGTAAAGGCCTGTGAGAAGTTAGCACTTTTTAACTGTGAATTTTATTGTTATTTTACACGTTTTCCCAGTTTTTTTAGTAGTTTTTATTTTAATGACAGATAATAGCAAGTAAAATCACTGGGAAAAGATCATTATTTACACATTAACCATAGAAAAAAAGAGGCCAAAACAATAATTTATTCTTTTACAACATTTGATGGTAAAACTACACTCTTTTTGTCCCTGAAATCACCAAGAAATATAGGTCATTTACAGATAATTGCAAGAAAAATTCTATATTTTAAGGATTAAAAAATGGTAAATATTTTTGTTTTCTGTCTAAAACAGGATTCAGTTGTAATTTGTTCTTTTACAGCTTCTGACAGTAAAATTATTTTTGCTTTATTCAAATCAGCAATAAATACTATTTTACATATATGTGCTGGTACTGAAAAACTCTAAACATTTTTTAGCTGTTATTCTGCAGATTTGCCCTGTCTTAATTAAGTATTTATTTACCTTGTTGACTCAGAAAAACTATAAATAATGTCCACATCAAAAATCTGTCTTTACATAAAGTTGTTTTTTTTACAGTGCATGACCACAACATTAGTCTTTTACTCTTTTTTAATCTGCTGAAAAGCATAATTTTACAGGTATTTGCCTTTTTCCTCTACTCTTCCTACAGTTTGTGAACATTATTCCACTTATTTACACATCAGGGTTTTTGGCACCCTTGCTGCCAGATTTGACCGTTTTCTCAGTCCGGTTTATCTCCACCTCGGTATGTATCGCTGGCACAGAGGCTGCCGTCCGTGTTGGCCTTGTGTCAACTATTTCAGGCATTTCAGTGGCTTCTGAGCTGGTAATTGAAGAAGAGTGTGATGGAGAAACACTGTGTGTCTGGTGATAGTGTGTGAAAACCTCCCGGTCTGCCCTCCAGCCAGAGTTCTTCTAGAAGCAGCAGCAGAGCTCAGTCTCAGCCCACCACCACCACCACCACCACCACCACCACCTCCTCCTCCTCCACCTCCTGTCACTGTGCTGTCTCATGACTGCACACACATGACCAGCACACTCTCACACTCCACAAAGCTGCATGTGTGTGCTGTGGGATTTCAAGGGTGCTCCTCTCGACAATGATTGACTGATCTGAATATCTACCTCTGCGTAACCCCTCTGCTCAGGATTTTGGTTAATAATTTTGGCCATGAAAGCAACAAGAGTTTATTTTTAGGCCTGAGCTGTTTGAGCAAGCGTGATGTGTTTATCAGTCCACGTCGTTCCAGTTAATGCGTGTCAGTCATTAGAGGAAGAAAAGTTTTAACATGCGATTCGTATTTGACTCGTGATTTGTCCTGTCGAAGCATTTTGTCAAAAGAAAACGAGGCTCGACTCGGACGAAGCAGCTCTACTTCCGCTCACTAGTCTCTCAGATAGCAACCACGTATAAAGTAGAATTTTTCCCAGCTCGTTCCCGGTGCTCGGTAGCAGCCTCCCACTCCGGATATCACTCCGCCTAATCTGATCTGGTGTCTGCTGTTTGTCCTCTCCTTTGTCTGCCCTCAGGCCAAGTACATCTCCACATGCATCGATGAGATCAAGCAGGAGCTCAAGCAGGACAACATCGCTGTCAAAGCCAATGCCGTGTGCAAGCTCACCTACGTAAGATCTCTCACCGTCCACCGATTCGCTCTCTCTGTCTGCTGCATCTGTACATAGACACTCATTCACATGCAGATAAACCCAGCTGTGTTCCACCTACAGCCATCGTGAAGCTGCTTCTGGGCCACAACTGATTAAAAATGAAAGCAGCGTGTTTTAATATAAAGCCCGAGCAGCGTAATCAGTTCAGGAATCCACACCCTAGATTGACAAAGAAAGAAACTGACCAACCAAAACAAATATTATTCATAAGCAGTGTGTAATGATGTGTGTCCTTTTGTGACACAGCTTTGGAAATAATTCTTGGACCACCTGTTGCTTTCCTTTACAAAGTCCATAAAACATTTTGTCAGCTTTGATGATTTGGTTTGAATTTCATGATTACGGTTTAGTAATTACAGTCAATTCTGAAAAACATGAAAAAACTATACTATAATTCAATGCATGCAACAGATTATGTTGAAAAATACGTTGCATTGAAACTGTGAAAATGTCAAAGTTGACACTCGATGAGCGAAAACGTTCATGAGTCGCTGTTATGTTGTGCTCAAGCTGCATATGTGAAGTCTACAGATAAACCAAAGTAAATTATTACTCAGCAACGCCTCAAAGAAGAGAATACAAGATAAGGAGAGGGACATCTTTAATAAAGAGGGATACAACAAGAGACTTCAGAATCAGCACAACGGCCTCCATCACAGCCTGAAGGAGAAAGTGCAGTTTGGCTGCACCGAGAACCACAAAAGGCAGAAGATGGTCACAGTGGGCTGATAAGGATTTCCAAAGCTGTTTACAGTATATTTATCAGTATATTCTGTCTAAAAAAGATGTCATTCAAACCATTTATGTCAGCTGGGACAGACAGGTATTTAATGTGTTACCTTACACTCCCATCAGTCTGTTCGCTCACTGCAACTGTGTCATATTTTGTTGACATGCACACAATGGAAAACCCCGTCTGTGTGTGTGATGCTCGCAGAAGGGAACTACACAAAGACTTCAATCTGTGTATATTATCTTTGCTGCTCAAACAGAATCGGGCTGAATCAAAGCCCATTGTTTCTGCCTTTGCTTTCATCAGGGTCAGATCGAAGTAACCTGTTCACCACATAATACATTCTGCACAACAGGTACAAGGCTGCAGGCGGATATTTAGTTTTATAGCCCAAGATCAGTCACGACACAGCCAGATATCCAGCAGCCAGCTCTTATTGAGACCAGGACACAATTCCTGTTCAAATGAAATCACTCTTTCTATTTATAGTCTGGGTACACATTTAGGTTTAGGTGGCGTGTTGCCGTTGTGCTCACTTTGAGAGCTTTCAGCTCAAATCAATTAGTCTCTCTGTGCACCACAGGGACAGCTCGGAGCCCACCTCCTCCTTTTGTTCACCATCTCTCTCTGTCTAATCCGTCCTACAGCTTCAGATGCTCGGCTATGATGTCAGCTGGGCCGCTTTCAACATCGTTGAAGTCATGAGCTCCTCCAAGTTTACATACAAGGTACGACAGGAGTATGTTGATTTGTCTTGAACAGCAGAGTTTAGATTCAGCAGGAACCTGTTGTCAAGGTACCTGGGATGTTTGGTGACATAGTTTGAGGTTAATGACAAACACAGATGCTAAAGGAAGGACATTTTTTAAAATAAAGTTTTATCTTCACATAGAAACCCAATAATGTGCACAAAGATCAGTCACAGCAGCTCATAGCGTGCATATAAATCTCTGTGGAGCTGCACCAGACTGATAAATGTGGAATATAACAACAGTATGTGTTTTTGTTTTTCCTCCTGCAGAGGATTGGCTACCTGGCGGCCTCACAGTGCTTTCACGAGAGCACAGATGTCATCATGCTGACAACCAATCAGATCCGAAAGGTCAGCGCTGTGCTTGTTTGATGGGCTCTGCAGCGACCTCATGACTGTTGTCGCTCCCTCAGCCAGCATTTTCTGTCTTATGGAGTTTTATTTTTCTTTCTATTTTTGCCCTTTTTCTCTTCCAGGATCTCAGCAGTCCCAACCAGTACGACACTGGTGTTGCCCTCACCGGCCTCTCTTGTTTTGTGACCCCTGACCTGGCTCGGGACCTGGCCAATGACATCATGACGCTGGTGAGTCACAGAGAACAAGACAAGAGGTTTACTCAAAAGATATTCCGAGACTAGCATGATGTCTTTTTCCTTAAGGTCGTCATCTTTATTAACCTGAGACCCTTGCAGTTGAAAGAGTTCTTTGACCACTGCCATCTTTTCTGTTTCTCCCCTCAGATGTCCCACACTAAACCTTACATCAGGAAGAAGGCCGTGTTGATCATGTATAAGGTGTTTCTGAAGTACCCAGAGTCCCTGCGTCCCGCCTTCCCCCGGCTCAAGGAGAAGCTGGAGGACCCAGACCCAGGTACCAGCAAACACACAGGAAGCCTTACTGTCAATGAAGAAGAGCCAGTTATGTAGTTGTATTTCTGGGAATCTTGGTCGTGGCTTTGGTTTGAGCCAAATGTTCTTTTTCTCATTGGAGGTGAATTATAAACACAGCTGGAGTTTGTGGTTACAGGCGTTGTCTGTCACCCGAACCCCATGAATTATTCAGCGATGAAGAATATGAGATAAAGGACGGCTCCGTCGTGATACCACCAGCGCTGTCTGGCACCGAAGTTAGACAGGAAGAATTATGTCACAGGGCGTTTATCTGGCTTTATGGAGTGTAACTGGGGCTGTGCCAGAGTGTCAGACTTACATACTTTATGTCAGTCGGCTAATAGTAAAGAATCTGAGAGACCTCTTTGTTTTAAAAACTACTTTCAGCTGATGTCAGACGGATATATCAGATGTGATGAAGTGGCTCCATGTAAAATATGCATCTAGTTCAATTTTTATTTTATTTGATATTATATGCAATTACGTTTGTTTTGTTTGCTTTATACTCCTGTCACTGTTTTTTGTTTTTTTTTAGCTATGCTTAAGACATATTTACCCAAAACACACACAGAAGTTTTATCCATGTGCAGATAAATTATGTTTCTGATGTATTTTCTCCTCCTTCAGGCGTCCAGTCAGCAGCAGTAAATGTCATCTGTGAGCTGGCCCGGAGGAATCCCAAGAACTACCTGTCTCTGGCCCCGCTTTTCTTTAAACTCATGACCTCCTCTACTAATAACTGGGTTCTCATTAAGATCATCAAGCTGGTAAGTCAGCAGGATGAAGAGTCCACATCGGGCTCATTTATTCAACCCTTAAAATCATGTCTCTGTGTATTAAAGTTACATCTTTAGAAATTAGTTTTTCCATTAAGAGTCCCCTCCTGCCTTTTTAAATAGCGTAGACGTGACTCTTCACTGTTGCTTCCTCTAGAATGATCTATGAGGGGATCTGTGAAGCCCCACCTTTCTTTTCACACACTCCTCACCTACACACACTATCAAGCTACTGTAATCTACACAATGACACTGATTCTGAAGATTAATGACATAAAGCCCAACCCTGCACATTGACATGAGTGATTCCTTAAGTTTGCTAGCTGGACAGTCTGAATCCATTTTTTTGAGACTGTCAGTCGGTACACTACAACTCTCCTGCTTATTCTGCTCACGATGTGTCTTCTAGCATCTAAAAGCACCACATGAACGTGTTAACAAGCTACTTCTTAGAGATAATGTTCATATAACTTTAACCATTTGCTGCGTGTCATTCTACTATTTTTTGCCTACGTTTTCTCTCTTTCCACTAAAATAAGATGCCAAAGCAGTGCGCCAGAAAAAAGAGGAATTGATACTAGTTCCTGACACAACTGTCAGTGAGAAGCGACGCCTTTATCTTCCTTCTCCTGCCGTCGCCACAAGACAGCAGACGTAGTACATTATAATACACTGTCACTAAACAGCACATTGATTGTTCAGAGGGTCATCTGCAATGTTGAAAAGGTAGTACAGCATCTACAACAGTTGCATTAGAGGAAAAAACCCACACTGTTTGTGCTTTTTGCAGTTTGGCGCGCTCACACCACTGGAGCCGCGGTTGGGGAAGAAGCTAATTGAACCTCTGACAAACCTAATCCACAGGTGAGATGAAGCGCCGAGTTGTCTTCCTAGATACTAATAACTACCCGATCTGATGAGTGCACCAATAATAATCTGCATTTTCTCCCCGTTTCTCACCCTGTCTTCCTCCCTCACAGTACCTCTGCCATGTCTCTGCTGTATGAATGTGTCAACACTGTAATTGCAGGTCAGTACTGGTTTTCTGTGGGCAGCGCTTCACTCAGCTCACTGTGTGTGTTTGGTGTAGTGGATAGCCCTGAAGGTTTCCAGTATAACTCATGATTCAGAGTTTATAATACAGAAAAGTTCTGTTGTATAATGATTTTCAGGCAAGTCAATATTTAACATATTTTTTTTGCCTCTATATCCAGAAATAAGCTCATAGTGTTCTGTCGCCTCGTCTTATCAGGATTTGCTCCTTTGCTCTTCTGCTAAATGCGAAACCCCACCGTTTTGTAAACATTGCTTGACCCAGTTACATGTAAATCACAAAGTACATTTACATTAAATGTCTTAAAGCTTCTGCACGAGGCTTAAGTGTTACCACACATTACAACCTTGACTCCTGTTTTAAATCGCTGTCATAACATTAAGCTCACATTCAGATCTAACGGCATCTTTGTCCTGCATTGCAGTGTTGATTTCCTTGTCTTCTGGGATGCCTAACCACAGTGCTAGTATCCAGGTAAGCCTCTCAGGTGTTCTCCTCCGTCTGCACATTCATGTGTTTAGATGCTGATTATTATTATTATTTTTTTTAACCCTTTCCACTCCAGTTGAATCACAGTGCATGCTTTCACACGTCTGTCTGGTCAAACATATCTTCAGTAGAAAACCTGCAACTGTCAGACAGGCTTGAAAGACTCATAAAGCTCTAATTTAGGCCCCATTCCCCCCATATCTATGTTCTTTGAAGTGTTCTCATGTGAAAGACTAAAAACTGGTGTGGAAAGGTTTACGGTGACGTTAACTACTCTCCCCTTCTCCCCCTCTGTGTTTCTTTCTCCCTCTCTCACAGCTCTGTGTGCAGAAACTGCGAATCCTGATAGAAGACTCGGACCAGAACTGTGAGCCCTCTGTCAATGCCTGCAGTGTGTCATTTTCTCATTGTCTGCGTGTTTCTGACTGTGGAACAGTCCGCCCTTGTAGACGACAATAATGTAGACCCCCTGACTCTGGATAACTCGAACGTTATTACCTTTTCACTCTCAATTAGGTGGCCTGCTTGGAATGCCATGGCGCTAAAGTCACGTCTCCCCGTTTCCCACAGAAAGGCCACGAACAGCAGAGAAAATCAACACCTTAAAGCAGGTTTTTCTCTGTTTGGTGAAAGGCCTCAAAGTTGTAAATGTATTTCCAGCCATTCGAGTTATCTGGACCTCCATTTGTAGATAGTTATGTGTGTGTGTGTGGGATAGAGTGTAGACCTCTGGTTCTAATAGAGCAGACTGTGATCCTGTGGTTTAAGGTTTTGTTTATCCTTTTACTGCACCTTCTTGTTGGCTCTTAAAGTCACCCGCTAGGTGTAAGACTTTCCATTACATCGATGAGTAAAGGAAAGAGTAGACATTCCCAGGATTGTGAAAAAACTTGTCCGGTGAAATCAAGGCCGTCGGAGCACGTTTACATCATTTTGTTCAAAAATATTTCATCCAAGAAAAATACATTTTACACATTTAGAATAAATTGTGAAGGCTGAATAAGAGCCACTTCACATCGCTGCACTGTCATGCTTAAGGTATTAGACGTATAGCAGATGACTAAAATAGGAAACTGCATCAGTGCTTTAGATGCAGACTGCTGATGCAACTACTTTAGCATCAATTAGGAACATTAACCTGAATTTAGAAAGCGCATTTGTGGCGGGAGCATTTTAATGAACATGAATAATCCTGGAAAGGCATCGGTGTAGACAACAGTCTTTAAAATCTGTGCTTCTAATAATTAATCGTGCGCTTGTGTTTGTCAGTGACACAAAGTTCGACTCGGCGTCCCACTGAGCTGCCGCCGTGTCCCGTCTCCTGCAGCCGCCCCGGTCATTTCCGTAATGTATTCACTGCAGCGATCGGCCTCGTCTCACCCCAAGGTCACTACCACACACATTTATCGATCACGGAACCCGAGAGGCATTAGTCTCTGCCAAAATAGATGATCGACAAAAACGCCATGACTCAGCAGGTTTCTGAACTTTTAAAAATCTCGCCGGTGAGCGAGAAGGATGAGCTGCCAGCGAAACGACAAAGGATAAAGCAAAGCAAAACTACTTTGTCCTGGTGTGTGTTCTCCCGTGTGTGTGTTTGTGCGTCCTTTTCCATCCTTCTGTGTGGTTTGTGTTTCTTTCCTTTTTGATGTTTAGTTTGTTTTATTTCCAGTATGAGTTTTATAGATTAGTCCAGTGAAGATGAGCACAGGAGTGATTTGTTCAGGATATTACTCATTTGTAAGAGAATAGTTTTTATGTACAGATAGAATAGAGGTAGGCACATGCAGGTAGGAAGTGTTTGCTGTTGTGTAACTGCAGTCACAACCAAGCAGAGCTGCAACGATTAATCGATTAGTTGTCAACTCTTAAATGAATCGACAACTTTTAAACAATCGATTGAAGTGACTTTTACCACAACATGTCAAAATTCTCTGATTGCAGCTTCCTAATTTTGAATATTTTCAGATTTCTTCCTCTCCTGTGACAGTAACGGAAAAACTTTTGGGTTGTAGACAGAACAGGATTTTGGAAAACACTGGTCGACATTGTTCACCGTTGTTTGGCCTTTCATATACCAGACAATTAGTTGAGTATTCAAGGAAATAATCACCAGATTAATCAAAATTGGGAAGTATTTTAGTTGCAGCGACTTGATCAACTAGCAACGGTCAGGGGGATGGATGATGCTGCATAGCAATGGCGGACCTTGTTGATACAGCAAACGATGTCCGGCACAAGAATCAAGAATAAGATAGGAGAATAAAAGCTAGCTGATAGGATGTGGAGATCTAGGCACTACATTCATGTCTGTGGTTCAGAACACTGAGGTGTGTTTGTGTTGTGTAGTGAAGTACCTGGGCCTGCTGGCCATGTCAAAGATCCTGAAGACCCACCCCAAGTCAGTGCAATCTCACAAGGACCTCATCCTCCAGTGTCTGGACGACAAGGACGAGTCCATCCGCCTGAGAGCTCTGGACCTGCTCTACGGCATGGTAAGGAGCCCAAACCTTTGACTTCTACACGACTACAGCTGCATTTTACTTCAGCTGTTATTAAACATATTTAGAAGCAGAATATCTTTAGTTTAGCAAATTATCTTTGTTTTTAATGATGCAGGAAAATAACACTTTCGCTGTAGCTGCTGGTAAATGCCTGTGTTGCCTCGCTGCTTGTTGAGCTTTAGAAGCCCACTTGATTTGTTAAGTGCAGTAGAATAGGTTTGGCCGTCACACAGCAAAGCAGCAAGTACAACACACAAACCAACCAGTCATTGCCAGCCAGGAAAATGTGTGGTTTTTGTTTAACACCATGAGTTGTGCTTATTATTCCTGAAGTTATATGAAGGAGTTTGTTGGCTTTTTCTGCCTCAGGAAAACAAGAAGTACTTGTAGATTCACAGTCAGTGCTTTCATCGCTTCATCCTGCTCTGTCCAGGTATCAAAGAAGAACTTGATGGAGATTGTGAAGAAGCTGATGCTGCATGTAGACAAAGCAGAAGGAACCACCTACAGAGATGAGCTGCTCACCAAGATCATCGACATCTGCAGCCAGAGCAACTACCAGTACATCACCAACTTTGAGTGGTCAGTTTATTCCACACCTGCACAGCCATATGCTTCACTCTGAGTTGTGTTAATGTTCATTCACATCTTCTATTGGTTGAGATGACGCAGAGCCCCTCCTCTCCATATCTGCCTGACAGGTACATCAGTATCCTGGTGGAGCTGACCCGATTAGAGGGCACGCGGCACGGCCACCTCATCGCCTCTCAGATGCTGGACGTGGCTATTCGGGTCAAAGCCATCCGGGTCTTTGCTGTCGCCCAGATGGCCACTCTGCTGGACAACGCCCACCTGTTGACAGGAAACATGCAGCGAAATGGCATCTGTGAAGTGCTCTATGCTGCAGCCTGGATCTGCGGAGAGTTCTCAGAGTACGTTTATTCCTCCCATCGGGATGCAGGGCGGGGCTCTGATAGCCGGCTCCATTTTGGGTCTAGTTTCAGTTTGATAAAATGCACAGATTTGTTTTTCCTCTGTGGCCAACAAACCCCTTATTGAAGCTTTCACATTCTGTGTTTAGTGAGTCTCTGTTGTCTCTCCCTGACGCTGCAGGCATTAGCAGAGGGGAAAAAAGACTAGCATGTACAAACACATTAAAGCTCAGTGAGTCTGCCGTTAACAAACATCCAAAGTCAACAAAAGGTCTGAATGACGAGGGAGCTATCGATGAGTCTTCTGCTTGAATACAGCAACGTGCTTGACATAAAGCTCTGTGGCACATCCGATAAACTGCACCAGATACTAAGTGATGAAGTAGGATTAATATTGTCTCCACTGTATTGTTATCACTTTAGTCTCTGTGGCTTCTGCAGCTGCAGCACAGCTCTCTGTTAGGACCAAATGCTGTTTTCTTGCTGAAGCATTACTCAGGACAGGGACAGTGCAGTGATAACATATGTGGTCAAAGCTCTACAACCCATCAGCTGGACATGTTGACAGTAGCTTCTATGAGTGTCAGTCAGGTTGTCTGGTAACTAGTCTAGAAATCACTTTTTAAAACTACCAGTTGTGTTATTCATGTTATTTAAAGAGACTAGATTCTTAAATATTAGATTATATGTTTCGTGACACAAAATACAGCTCAGCAAAATCATCAGTCATAGTTTTTTACGAACAGTTTTAATTCCTCACCAAACAAACTATTTGGATTCGAAACTGGATTCAGATTTGAATCCCTTTTCCTAGAAGAACCTCATCAAACGCAGACTAGAGTAAAAGTTAAACTTCTCGTCAGGGAGCAAATGTATATCAAGTTATCCCGTCACCTCAGCTGCTTAATAATAAATCCACATGGAAATGACAGTTTGACTCAAATATTGTGCCTCTCACGTCTACGTTTTCTTCCTCTTTATCATCCGAGTACAAGCGCAGCCTGATGTGACCGACACGTTACAGAATTAGCAAAGCTAATCTCTGGCTCCAGATTGCACCCAGTGACACTCGTGTGATCTTTTTGCCTGTTAAAAGAACTAATCAATAGCCGGATTCCTGTTAGTGAACCAATATGTCGTTGTGCTTTCAGATGCTGCAGATATTTTCCAACTGGTTTCATACACGTGCCTCAGATGGTTACATTGTGCTGTTTAGCTTTTGTTATATAGCCTAAAACATGTTTGAGACCTGTCCTGAGAGTAGAGTAACAAATCCCACCTCTACCTTTCAGACACTTGGAGAACCCGATGCAGACGTTGGAGGCCATGCTGCGGCCCAAAGTGGCCACTCTGCCGGGCCACATCCAGGCTGTGTACGTGCAGAACGCAGCCAAGCTGTTTGCCACCGTGCTGAAGGCTCAGGAGGGGAACACAGACAGCACAACTGCACAGGAAACCAGCCAGCTGATGATAGACAGGCTGCCGCTGTTTGTCCAGAGCGCCAACCTCGAAGTGCAGGAGAGGGTAAGCTCGATGAGGAGAAGCTCTGGTTTCCCCAAACTGTAGTAGAGATGTTGACCTTTAATGTTGTTCAGATCCTGCAACAATAAAACTCAGATGAATAACTTTAATCTGCGCTGCTCCACTCTCCGTCCTCAGGCGTCCTGCATCCTGCAGCTGGTCAAGTACATCCAGAAACTGCAGCAGAAGGACGTAGAAGTAGCGGAAGAAGTCAACGCTCTGTTTGCTGGAGAGCTCAACCCTGTAGCCCCCAAGGCACAGAAGAAAGTGCCTGTTCCTGAAGGGTAAGTTGACTCGGTACATGGGGCACGCTCACATTAAAACCACATTATTATTTAGTTTTTATCGTTTACCAATGAACTGCAACCGTGTTTGATTGCGTAGCCTGGACCTGGACGCTTGGATCAATGAGCCTCCATCTGAAAGCGAGTCTGAGGATGAGCAGCCCAAGGCTATTTTTGCCAAGGAGGAGCCCAAACACTCCCGCACCCGTCACACAGAGGTGGACGAGAAGGAGCTGGCGAGGGTACGCTGATCAATGATTGTAGCGCTGATGAGCTGAACAGCTGTACAGTACGTTTCTTTGGTCGTGTTCACAGCATAGCGGGAAAACAATCACCGGATGCCACTAACTGGAAATAGAATTCACATAAAACACAAAAACAAGACAAGAATAAGTTTGTTAATGTATCCAAAATCCTGTAGTCACTGTCTGGACAGACAGTATTGACCTTCTCAGAGCTCTGCTGTGAACCAACCTGGCGTCTGTATGGATCCGTGCCCTGCTGTAACTGAGGTCAGCTCGTCTACATTGATGGATTAATGTTGCTGTTTTTCTTTACTCTCAGAGGAGAGAAGCCAGAAAACAGGAGCAAGCCAACAACCCGTTCTACATCAAGGCCTCCCCATCCTCGCAGAAGGTATGGTCACCAGTGTTCACTTGTTATTAAGTTAATGTTCGTAGGTTTTTAGGTACAGTAGAGCCTCACTGGTACTGGATTTCAAGGGAGTAAAAAATTACAATATTGATGAATTGGTCAATGTTCTTGACACATGTATGCATACATATATATATATATATATGTACACATACAACGTGTTGTTTATATTAAAAAGGAAAAATGATTTGGTCATAGTTTAACCGGCTTTCTATCGATGTACATCACAGACTCGTTAACAACTTACAGTGAAGACACAGCTTGACTCCGCACCACCTTCTGCTGCATGTGCTGCAGACGGAGCTGTTGTAAATGATCTCTGCTGGATAAACTACCATTTCTAAATTACAACAAGCATCTTTTTCTGCAATATATTTTGTAAAAACAAAACAAAAAAAACCTCGTCAGACAACATATACAGTGATGCTGATATATTTGTGATCGACCGCCTGATAAATTGATCAGACTAGTACTTTATAAAAGCACTTCCGCCCATGTGTAGGGAATATGCACTAATAGACTGTGTTAAGTACCATTCATGACTTCAGTGAACTGTCTCCTCTCCGTAGGTTTACCAGGATGCTCCTGGAGTGGAGCACATCCCCGTCGTGCAGATTGACCTCAGTGTGCCTCTCAAAGTCCCAGGTGGGTCACGCCGTCCTCACATTACCGTCAAACACTCATTTCACTCTCATCATGAGTAAGATTACACCAGAATCAAAGTGGCTTACCTTAAGTGCAGTCTGACAAAAAGATGTGACATCTACAATCAATGTACTGTCACGGTTCAGGTTCTAGTCTGTGCTTATTTCTCCTCGTCTGTCCTCACAGTCTCTGCTGTTTGTTTTTACACGTGTCCGATTTTTAAAATATTACAAAACACCATTGTTTTTAGTATCTGTCTTTTAAAAATCCTGTCTGGTTTTGTGTCCACAGGTCTGCCTATGTCTGACCAGTACGTGAAGCTGGAGGAGGAGCGTCGGCAGAAGGAGAGAGCAGAGAAGAAGAAGAAGGAGAAGAAGAAGAGGAAAGAAAAGCGCAGCGGACGAGGGAAGAAACATGATTCGGGCCCAGAGAGCGAGGAGGACATCACGCCTGCGCACCAGGTCGACATTGTGACAGAGGAGATGCCAGAGGTACAGACGAATCTGCTCAGCGCTGAACACAACGAGACTCACTCATTAACAGAATATACTTGACTTAAGCGTAATTCAGTACATGACCCTGTCGCCATCATTTGTACTGTACAGACTGGAGTTAACTATGATTTTATGCACTTTTATGTATTTGTGGTATCGTGATATATAATGACATGGATCATAGAGGCAACAAAAGCTCAACTAAGGATTGTCACTCCTTTAGTTTTTCATTAACTGTTTTCTGTCTCCGTGCACTTTCTTTGTTGTGTGTGTGTGTGTTTTTTTTAAGTAACCAATTTTTTTCCCCTAAATTGATTGTCAGTTACTTTGACCTTTTAGTACCTGTCCAAGCAAAATCCTTCACTCTTAAAAACCACCATCGTTACTCCGTTTATTGGATTCTCAGCTCTGAGACGACAGAGACTGGAAGTCAATGTCTCAATGAATCTCCTGTTGTGTTAATAGATTTATTTAGAGCGTTATTAACTCTCTTTCATTGACTGTACCTTCTCCTTGCTTCAGAATGCCTTACCCAGTGATGACGATGACAAAGACCCCAATGACCCACACAAAGCCCTGGACATCGACCTGGACAAGTGAGTTCACGCTGTGGAGATCCTCCATGAGCTCAGACTTTGAAGTTGCTAAAATCCCTCATTTGCATACCTGATTAGGACAAACAACCAGTCGGTGAAATTTAGATTTTCAGCGCAGAGCTTTAGCTGAGAATCACTGAAGTTTGTGTGTGTTTGTTTTTCTGATCTAAATCATTTCTCTTTTGATGTGGCTCAGCATTTATTCCTGATTATCTCTCAAACTTTCTGGCCACAGCGTTAAAGCCAACGTGACTTCTTGGCCCTTTCCCTCCTCGCACTCCTTCTCATGGCGTTCTGCTTTCTGCTTCCTCTTTTCTATGCCTACACACACCCATTACTGCCTGTTTGCGTGGGCAGCTTGATGGAATCGGCTGGGCGCAGGTGAGTAGCATCCCAGCCACAGGGACCTGGGCTCCAACACTGGTCGCCTCTCTGTCTCTCTCTCCAAGTAGCTGCTCCTTTCACTAATGTAGCTGCTGTCTGTTCTCTACTCATGCGGAGCCTGCAGTAGCCGCTTCCTCTTTCTGCTCTTCTTCCCTCGTATTTTCAACATCTGTTCTTTAATTGTAGCTTTTGACTCATGACCAGATCAGTATCCCTTCTCTTACCCCGCTTCTGTCTCTTTAAGCTTGACAATATCAGCATCTGTGTTTCTGAACAAGCTGTTCAACGATTTACCAAAAGGCTTCTCTTACTAAACATATCTTTTAATAATAATAAAAAAACATAGCTTCATGGGAAAAAACAAACAAATCATTGCTGCTGATGTTCTCAGGACTTAATCTTTCACCACCTGTCCTCCTGGAATAGACTCCTAAAAGCATTTTGGCACTTGTTTTTCTTGGAAAAGATAATCAGCACAAACATGCTTTTAGGAAACCTACCCCAGGGGTTAGATAGAGTAATTCTTTTGCTCCCAGGTCCTCCTCAGCTGAGTTCAGTAGACCTGGCATGCCTCCAGATTCTCGCCAGCTGTTTTTAAGTGGATGCGCGTTGCCTGCCCTCTGTGGAAGAACATGTGCCCTTAAAGCAAGACCAGAATGTGGAACGTTTGGATACTGGGGTCATTCGGTGTCATTTCAGACAGCAGTGTTGCTCCGCCGTCTCAAGAGTTTACTTGTTTGTTAAAGCAAAAAAAAGCCTCGTATGTTGTTTAATTTCACCGTGAGGTCAGCATGGACGCAACTTGTGATTTGGCATCTATAATGTAAACATACAGACCCAGTTGCACACCAGTTTTTGTGGCCCAACAAATGAGTCCATGTCACCATTTTGGCAAATTGGCAAAAACTGTAAACTTGCCTCGTCATAATTCCAACACATTGAATTCTGGTAATCGTGAAGGCCTCAAAAGTTGGTGAAATGTCAACCAAAGACTGTGTTTTTATTAGGAAATATGAGCACAGCCATATATATATACACACCGAGGGGAGCTTTCTGGGAACCCAATACCGCCCTCCTTTGAAAATTTTGGTAATTTTTTTCCATTTTTGAGTTCCAGTAGCCAAACTGTTGACCCCTCATCTGCTGGAAACAATATGGTTTGTCTTCGTCTTCACCAAATGTCAGCATTGTGGAGGAAATACAAAAATTCCCAGGTCTGAAAACGTATACATTTCTCTAAATCCATCCAAAATATTTTACAAAACATCACTTTTGGCCTCAATGGACAGATTTATATTGAAGGAAGTCTCAGACGGTGCAGCAGCGTATTGCTTGAATTCTGTCTGACTTCACACAGACTGACCCAGTGCAAGATGAAATGGTGCAGGAGTTTTTTCTAGTAGTCAAACAGAGCAATCCTAGAAATTGATGCATGCATTTGACATTGTTGAAATCTATATACTCACTTAGAAAATTGCTGTTTTCTTCTTAATACTTCATTAATGTAACATGTATGCTGGATGTACAGACCTTAAATTATACATCATTAGTGTTTCTACAAACAACTGCTTACTTATATTGCAGATTACAATAAATGAGACAAAAAAATAAAACACAGACTATTTACTTCTATAAATGTATGGCTAAAAAAGTATATGCATCTTGAAAACTCATTTAAAGCTGCAGCTCAGACATTAGATGTGCTACAACCCATTGGAGAGCATTGTCTTTACTGAGAATGGCCAGCAGGGGGCTCCAGTGCATGCTTTTACTTCCAGGGGCCAAGCTTTGAGGACAGATACGTGACAGCTCTTATCAGTTCAATATGGAGGAATTTATTGGGGTAGTTTCTAGCTGTCTGGGAATGTCCGATGTTTCGAGCTCTGCCGGAGGAATGGCTTAACTCAGTGCTTTGATTAAGACCTGGCTGCTTCACAGTGCCGACTATGTGCTTGGGAATGGTGGATTGCTGCACCCTACATGCCTTGTTCACCTCCTCTAACAAATTAATGCAGACTTTTAGTGCGCAGGAAGGTTGAAAGTGTTTTTCAGATCATGGCAGGTGGACCGTTATCGCCTCCTAAATCCTCATCTGAGCAAAGTCAAACTGTGTGTTCGTACATCTTTATTTGTCCAGGCCGCTCGCAGACAGCGAGAAGCTACCGGTCAGGTCACACCGTGCAGCAGAGGCTGCTAAAAGCCCGGTAGAAGACGGGGAGACGGAGAACGCCACCTCGCTGGAGCCCAAGAAGAAGAGCAGCAAAGAAAAGAGGGAGAAGAAGAAGGACAAAGACAGGGATAGGAAGGTGAGAGTACAACGCTGTTCTAAAGCAGCAGGTTTGGGCTGTTTCCTCACACTCACTGCCTGCTGTGTAGGTCATGAGGCAGCTTCGTAAAACCTGTAAATCAGATTTAAAGGGCGGTTAGAGCGAGAGGAGCGGAGCGATGAGTGACGCTGTGATGACTCAGTGGTTGTGCCGCTCCGTCTGACTGACACATGATGAATTTATCGTCCTGTTTTTTTGCAGAAGAGCAAAGAAGAGAAGAAGAAGAAGAAACACAAACATGAAGAAAAGGAGGAGGATCTCCTCGGAGGTCAGGCGGATGAGCCCGTGGTCCAATCGGAAGAAGCCAGTGAGGTGGCAGCACCGCCCACCTCCACCAGCGCTGAGGTATGCCTGTGTAACATGTTGGAGCAAGGCTGTTTCCTACCTAGCAACAGAGTCTGCACCTAATACTTAACCTGACTCCTAAACCTGATTAAATTATCTGGCCTAAAGCCGGTGATCAAAAATGGCTCAAGAACAAACACAAATTCTGTGAAAGGTTACTTGCTAACCGATGCGTTTGATCATTTTCATTGACTCAACACTTCCATCGCTTCCTCCCAGCCTCTCTTTCAGTCAGCTATAGTGATCAAGTATCAGTTTCCTCGTAGCTGACTGTGCAGTCTCCAGCCAAATACTTGATTTATTCATGAAATAGAACAGTGTAAGCTCTGTATCCGTTTTCATGAATAGTAGTAAGATACAGAACCTGTTTGGCCCTCACCCCGCTCACCTCCTCGCACTCCTCTCCCTCCCTTCCTCTTCTAGGTTTCGGACCTGGATTTCTGGCTCTCAAACGCTCCAGTGCCCTCTAACACCCAGGTTGAGTCGCCCCCCTCTCTCTCTCTCTGTCCCACCCTCATCTCCTCAGTTTTCACCTTCCTCCTTCACAACGCTGTGTTTTATTCACCTTTCTCATGCACTGGTTCTGCCGTACATTCTGTTTCTGTTCAGTTTTTCCATCCCAGATAATCAGGAGCCTTCTGCTGGACTGTCTCTGATTTGCTTGAAACTTTTTTATTATTTAAAATGCTATTTGTGAAATTTTAGATCAGACTCTGAGGACCTCATGTTGTAGACATGAACTTTGGTTTGGGGGAGACTTGACTTCTGTGTAGTTTCTTTGGGAATTATGACTGCATTAGTTTGTGTTAATCTGTGTCAAAGATGGGACTTCTCATGTTAGCTTTATAATGTTTTCTCCATATTTCAACTGATCCATAATCAGAGAATGGTGGATCTACTTGTGCAGAATTACAGATTCTGAGTCACTGACATGATGAGAGAGAACAGTGAAAGTTTGAGGCTTTTACTTTTTAAAGTTTCCGAGATGTTGTCGTTCAAACAGCCTCAAATGTTAATGTGCAGAAAAATCTCCTGAAAGAAGGTGGACGGGTAATTACTTAAAAGAAGATTATCTTGGAATTATCTTTCAAAATATCCATAATTTACGCTGTAAAGATTTCAGACAAATCAGAGACGGTCGAGCAGAAACGATTCAACGGCTCTTGATCAGCTTCAGTTGTTTTTTTTTTTTCTTATTTTACGCACCTTTCTGATAGAACCTCCTCTCTTTCACAGGTCACGTATATATTCTCCCATTCTCAAGCCTCCCTCTGTTTTCTAGCATGTGTGTATGTGTGTGTGTGTCCACAGTATGTGTGTGTGTTCGTCTCACGCTGCCAGTGTTTCTCCTCCTCAGCTCTTGTTTTGCTTGCTGGGTGTCGTGTCGGCCTTGAGGTCAAAGTTTGTGTTGTTGTTTTTGTTGTTGTGTTGAGAGGTGGTGACGAGTGAGCAGAGGTCACCAGGTTCCCCTGGAGTCCCGCCTGGAATCCTTTTGTTCATATCACCACCACATGTCACGCGTTTGTTCCCCGGCGGTCACATGTGGCGTCGTGCTCGTCTGTGTTTCTGTTTTATCTTTAGATTCTGTGTCAGAATCTCACTCAGAGAAACAGAAAACGTCTTGTGCTGAAGAAGTAGCAGCTTGTAATGCGGAGTGGAGCTGTTGATGAATGTGGAGCAGTGTTTCTATAAGTGGGTCCTCATTTTGTTTGTGTGTGTTCGTACGGAACAAGATGGCTGACGAGTGAGCAAGGATGTGACAGTTTAAAATAGTTCAGACAACATGCCTTTAGCAGGTTGTTAGACCTCAAGGATGCAGTTTTTTTGGATAGAATAAACTGAATGTAAAGTTTGCAAGGAAACCACAAAGAACATTTAAGTTTCTCTTTCTCAAAAATTCAACTTCTGCTTTAATTCTGTCTTTAGTAGCAGAACAACAGGGCTTTTTATGAGAGCGCCAAACAGTAAATGTAAGAAAAGGCCCGTCTTGATTGTTTGAGATCAAACATTCGTTACCTGAGGAGTTCACCTGGTTTATTCTGGGCTAAGCTAACATGCTCCAGCAATAAGTGAAAAAACATCAAACTGTTCCTTTAACCGTGCATGATCGCTGGATAGCTGTTGACATTTAACACAGATGTCCCTGCAGACGGAGGTTTTCACCTTGGGCACCGTCTTATCTGCACATATCGGGCAGGCAGGCTCAGTAGAAGCAGGTTTGTCAGGCATTTTCATTTTGCTTTTGGGGATTTCTGTTTTTAATCATTTGAGCTGTCAGCCCCTGAGTCTAGGCTGACCTAGAAACACGCCTCAACGTGTCAATGAGGAAGGCTTGTTTTTGTATTGGCTGTCATATTAGCGTCACAGATCTTACGGCGGCGTGTACGCTCGCTTTCACAATCAGGCTCTCGAATCTGTGAGCAGCAGCAGCAGCAGCAAGTGTAGCTGGTTTGTAAAGTAGATCCCGAAGTCCCAGAATAAAAAAAACAATAAAACCACTGCATGTTGTACAGTAGCAGGTTTGTCAGTCAGACTCGTTTGAGGTTTAGCTTATTGGTTTTCTTTGCTGTGTTTAACAGATCAGGTTCATGTTTGTGGTGTCACAGAGCTCGGTGGGTTGCGGCTGATGGTGAATTCTCTCCGTGTGACTGAGTGGACTCACTAACTTCACTTACCTCTGTCGACACAGACGTGGCAAACTCTGCCGTGTGTGTTACATGCTGCAGCTGCCGTCGCTAATGAGTTTATCCGGCGCTGTGTTTGTGTGTCTGAACAGGAAGCAGCAACCGTAGCAGCAGCAGCAGCATCAGAAGCGGCAGCAGCAGCAGAAGCAGCCCCCGAGCCCGAGGCACCCGCCGGCACAGCGCCAGACTCCGAGCCCGACGAGCCCAAAGACGCCGAGATGGAGGAGACCGTGAGTCACCGCTGATGATGTGATAATTGCGCAGCACAAAGTTTGGCTGCGGCGCTCGAGATTCCAGTTCACAAAGCCCCCGAGAGGACGGAGCGGCACGTCGGCCGCTCTCCTTCTCACAAGTTTGCACAAACGATGTATCACGGACCTGCCAGTTTCTGTGGATGACCGTTAATCATTACCGGTTCAGCGCCTGGGTTTTATTGTCGGATTTTTAATTAGCGCAACCGACATAAAAGACACAATCATGCTCTAATCACTTTATAGCCTGCAGGTCCGTTATTCAGAGAGGAGAGGGCACAGTGAGGATGTGGGTCAGTAGAAATAACAAGCGGTAAAGAGAAGTAAATAAAACATAGATAAGCAGAAAGGAGGAAGACTCACAGGTTCTTTACTGTCTTCCTCCTTCCATGAGTGTTTTTTTTTCTGTATCTAAACTTTAACAGGATTTCAGGTTGAACATCAGTGTTTAAACTCGGTTCAGCCTGACGGTTGAATAAAAAATAAAAATACAAAAATGACAGAACACAAGACAAATGACACCCAGTGCTTTTTTAACCTTGAGAATCGTACTGTTCTTGGTTTTCCTGAGTTTCTCTGTAATCAGACACCATTCAGCTCTGGAAAACACCGCTTGTGTTCTGTTACAGAGATTTTAGTGACTATTTGAAACCAATTTTCTGCAGATGGAGGATCCTCCCGCTGACATTTACACGTTCAATAGGTATCGGTCACTCCCTGTCACGAGGAGAATCCCCCAGGTCCAGAACCAAGCACCTGGTGGGAGAGAGGGGAGATAATGAGTTTCCAATTTCAGTCAAATGCTCCTCAAAACAAAAAAACGTCAAGACATACATGTTTTCTTTGGCTTTTTTCTGCTCTTAAGGTCTTAATATTTCATGTTTATTCCAATTTGAGAAATGAATCTTACAAGTTGCTCTCTGGTTTTAGCTCCTGAAACTGATTTTACTAATTTGATCCTGTCTTGTTGTCTGCTCATCATTTTGCTGCTGCTGGTCTGACAACATGTTCAGCAGTTGGATCATCTCAGCTTGTTCTAAAACGTGCTGCAGGAATATATTTGATTTGATTAATGAAGCTTCAGAACTGTGTGAGATCTTCTAACGACTTCTCTCTTATTTTCCTTTCGACGATCAGAAATCCTCCAAGCACAAGAAGAAGAAGCAGAAAAAGGAGAAGGAAGAGAAGGAGAAGAAAAAGAAGAAGAAGCACCATCACCACCACCACCACGGCGACGGAGGAGGAGAGGAGTCGGTGCAGAACGGCACCGTCGAGGAGGAAGAGCCTCTGCCGGTCAGCGTTAGTCATCGTGTTTCTGAACCAGCCCGTTTTCACTTATTTTCATTTTATGCACCGATAAAGCAAAGAAGAAACATTTTTATGAGTCAGCCAATGTTTTTCCTAAAGCAGTAAAGTTAAAAATTAAATTGGCACCTTCATGATTTGGGGGGAAAGAACAAGTCACGGACCTCAAAGCCACACAAACCTCCATGCTGCATGTAGGCAGCATAATTCATCATCGCTGTTCAGGCTGTTTGAACCCATTGACTGCTACCGACACAGACAGACACACAGCCTCGCTTGTTATGCATCGGCTAGGTAGAGCTCCTGTTGCCTAGTTAGCATACTGAGTGACAGAGAACGCCTGATCTGACCTGAGCTCCTCTTTCCTTTCAGCCCATGTCCAATTACTGCCTGCTGGCTGAGAACTCCTACATCAAGATGGTGAGTGGAGGTGACTGGGAGGCTGCTGCACCACGGAAATTCAGTGTTTCACCCATTTTTTAAATAGTCTTGTCCACCATTTGGCCTCATTCTGGTCAATATAACATTTGATTTCCAGTATCTGAAGTAAGATTCATGCTTTTACATAAACACCAGAGCAAACCAGATGAATCAGTCAAACTGAATCTGATTGGCTGGACGTTCTTTATCCAGTGATGTTAGAATATTTCATTCACTTTCAGATATAGAAACAGTTTAACAGAGGACAGAACACCTTTTTTGTCTGGTTACTGGCAGGAGAAGCATTTTGATTATCTGATTTTGTTTTGTTTTTGCCAAAATCCAGCTGCATGTTTCCTCCACACGGAGTAGATTCTAACCTACACGTGCTCATGTTAAAGCCTCAGCTGTTGGTATCAATGTGGAATTCAGCAGCTGCTAAAAACAACAACACATACAGATTTCTGCTTGTCTCTCCTTCTCTTTAAAGATGATGGAAGATGCTGATCAGGTATCAAAGTTCTGTCAGAGCGTTGCTAAAGCTCCCTCCTAGACGTGTTTCTCTCTGCTGCCGCTGTCGCTCTTCACAGACTCGCCTCAGGGCCAGAATGCATTCGTGTTTCTGTAGCACAGCGTTGTTGCTTCGGTCTTCTGAGAGCGATTCCTTCCTTCTCATTACCTCTTTGTGCTCAGACTGGTTCTTGAGAACAGTCGCGTGTGCTTTGATGTTGGGGTGATCGATCAGATCTGCTGTGCTCTGCTGTGAGAATGAGCCTTTCAAACAATCATGTGTCTGTTTTTAGAAAACTAGGAGGGGAGATTAGAACAGCAGGTGCAAAGAATTGTGCTTAAAAACAAAAATAAGCTTCTTTTTAAAAACCTGTTTCCTCCCACTCAGGTTTACGACATCCAGGGGAACCTGCAGGATGGCAGTCAGGTGGTGGTGTCGGTTATATTTGAAAACAAGTGCGACAGCTTCCTCAAATCCATGGAGTTCAACGTCCTGGACTCTCTGAACTCCAAGCTGCAGAGGCCAGAAGGTTCAGGTCCTCACGACGGCCTCACCGTCCCCTTCCAGCTGCCTCCTGGTCAGTCTGCAGGGTTTTAATCAGTTATTTAAAAACACAACATATGTAAATGTGTAGAAGTAAATCAGTCTCTTAGTTTTATTGAGTCTTCAGACGTCATCTCTTTTTGTAATAACGACACTAAAATGTCACTCTGGGAAGCTGAGTGTGATTTCTGACGGTGAGCTTCTCTGTCGTGTTGCAGGAGTTTCCAACGAAGCGCGATTCGTCTTCACTGTGCAGAGCATCGTAATGCCACAGAAACTGAAGGGAACCCTCACCTTCATAGTCAAGGTGAGTCAGACAGCGTGCACAAACACCATTTGTTCTACAAATAAGGTCAAAGCTGATTAAATGTGTTGTAGACGAGTCTCCATAACACCTCATCAGGTGTGTTTTGCTGTTATATCTAAAATCAGGCAGCACTTCCTGAATACTTTGCTCAGTTTTTTAGCTGTGTAGGTGTCAGACTGGCTCAGAAATGCAAATAATGAGACTAATCAGATTAATAACTTCTAATAGAGGTACGATGAAGGGATTGTTAGGTGCCTGGATAGTTGTGGGTTTAGTTCTGTAAATGCAGAGTTCATAAAACAGGCTGAGCATAAGACTCATGCCGTATGTTTGTAGGCATCTTCACCGCCTTTCAGATGCTGTTTGGTCATTCATCATCCACCCAGACTTCTTCACAGATTAGCAGACAGAAGAGAATCCATCAGAAGCCTCATTGCTTGTCTTTTCTTTTACGATTCCCACAGAACGAAGACTCCTCCACTCACGAGAAACTGGACTTCAAACTGCACTTTACCTGCACCTCCTACCTAATCACTACTCCGTGCTACAGGTCGGTGCTTTTCCTGTCAGTCACTCTAAGTGTCGGTGAGCCTGTTGAACTCGTCCTTTCTCTTTTAGTGTTTGCTTATATCATTTTGCCACATAAGCTTCCTGTTGGTGTCGGAGAATTTGTAGAACCAGTTGTGACCTTTTGGGATGATGCTGCAGACGAGCTTGTAGAAGATCCAGACTCAGACTGGATCATCGTCTGAGCTGCATGAACGTGTCCAGTTCCACGTTTATTACATGCATCTTGTGTGAAGTTTGAAATTTTGGCTTCATGTTTGCACCAGAGGACATAAAAGATTGAAAAGCTGGTGATAACTTCACTAAAATCTCCTTATTGTTTTTAGCGTTCTCTTTGCTTTTTGTTCTATTATTTTAAAGGATAAATCTAAACTGAATTGTGTTTTTCGTTCCTTTGTTGTGCCAGCGATGCGTTTGCGAAGCTGCTGGAGTCGGGCGACCTGAAGGGCAGCTCTGTCAGGCTGGAGGGAGTCAACATGCCCTTCCACCACCTACTGGCCAGGATCTGCTTCCACCACCACTTCTCTGGTACGAATGCATCCCCATGTGCTCTGTTCTTTCTGTTGTTTAGCCACAGAAGAGGGTTGCATCACTTCACTTAGAGGAAACTACGACAGCGTTCTCCAGAAATGGGGGACTTTTACTTTTAGAGAAAAGTCACTGGAGGTCAGCGTGATGAGGAACTTGTGCTGATCTGTTTGCTGAACTGCATCTGATTTAGAAAGAAATTCAAACAAAAGAAGAATCTCGTGATGAGGATGAGTCAGCGGGATCGATGACGGGTGCACACGCGTCATCGTCAGTGTTTTTAGTCCACATGTGTGTTTTTTTTTCTGACCGTAGTTCCTTTTTACGGATGTTTTTCTTCACTATCACGCCGTCATTCTTGTGTCATGACGTTCATTAGTCAGCCGCAGTTTCCCAAGACTGTGGGAGCACTTCAGGTCAGCACAGAACAAGACGGCAGTTTGTACGTGGAGCTTCGATGGCAGAGAAACAGACAGGAGGTCATTTACATCCGTTAGCTTCCCTCCTGCTCTCTGTGCTCACGTGTCCGGCTGAACTTCCAGGAAAGCTCGTCTCATTCATGTGTTTGTTTCTGTTGTCAGAACACAGAGTTAGTAGGAAACAGTCACTGAAGGACAGTTTATGCAGACTGCATGTTAACCAAACTGCTGCTCTCCAGATTTAGAGCCGCGACATCGTCTCACAAACTCACCAAACACACGAGTTCAAGACAAACGTTGTGCAGGAAATTCAAAGCTCAATACGTTGTTGGAGTCTAACGTACATGATGGTGTCAACACACAGCAAAACGTGTTCAAAGGATCCAGTCAGTCGTTGGTTTTGGTCTTTTTAAGGGTCGAGTTGATGATGTGAGGAAAGACTAAATGCAGTCTGCACCGTTTTTAAACATTTGTAGGAAGAACTATTTGCTCTGTGTGTTGAAAAGTTCTAAATAAAAAGAAAGCTCCAGATTATATTCAGCCAAAACAGTGTCAACCAAAAAAGGTCCGGTTCCTTTAGTTTAGTCCGACAGTACCGACACCAGAAGAAGAGGAGGAGGAGGAGCTGGAGCCTGTCTGGGCTTCTTCACTTTGTTCAGGGCTTTGATAAACTTGGATTTCTTTTGGAGTTGAACAACTGACTTTGATGATAATCCCTCTATTTAATCTTATTTTTATCATGTTGGAGTTCCACCTTAATGCACTTTAATATGAAAGAGTTTCTGTCACGCTTCCTGCTGCGCCGCCTCATCCAGGGACTCAGTGAAATGAACCTAAATCATCATTCTGCACTTTTTGGAGGAATTTTAATCATTTAGATGCATTGATTAATTTGTATAATCATCATTAGAGACGTGATCTCTGGTGTTGTTGTGCTGACGCTTGTGTTCTTTGTGCGTTCAGTTGTGGAGCGGATCGACTCCTGTGCCTCCATGTACAGCAGGTCAATCCAGGGTCACCACGTCTGTCTGCTGGTCAAAACTGTGAGTAAACAGCAGAGATCCACCAGAGAACCGAGCCGCTCTGAGCTTCAGTCTGAGCTTCAGTCTGAGCTTCAGTCTGAGCCTTTCTCATCCGTTTCTCTCCTCTCTGTGTTTTCCAGTCCGCTCAGACCGTCTCCATTGACGCTAAATGTGACGAGCCGACGCTGCTCGGGAATGTGCTGGACGAGATCAAGCAGACCTTCTCTCAGTGCTGATTGTGTCTGACAGCCCCAGGGTGCCCCCCGACCCCTCCACGCCGCCCCCCGACCCCTCCCTCACCGAAACACGACATAATCATGTTACCAAACACTGCGGCTGGCACGTCCAGTATCGCCTATTTATTGGTCCTCAGATTTGCAAGATTTCTTTCCCTCCTGCTCCTCCTCCTCGTCCTCCTCTTCCTCCTTCCTCCTCCTCTTCCTCCTTCCTCCTCCTCCTCCTCCTCCTCTGTCGTTCCTCTGCACTCTGAGCTCTGTGGTCCCTCCTTCGTACTCGCTGTTGTTTTACAGACTCATGGTGTAAACGCTCCGTCTCCTCTGCGCTGCGCTTTGATTTTTACTTCCTGGTTTTTCGGACAGCCAATCCGCTGCACTCTGACTCTGCCGCCGAGCTCCTGGTTCTGGACGCCCGGCGTCCTCTGCTCTGCCCTTTTTTTCCACCCTCCACTCTGTGACAGTCGTGTAATGTGATGTTGACAACTGGACTTTTTTCTCTCTTTTTTTCTTTTTTTTTGCTGTTTATGGTTGAATTGTATTTTTACTGTTTTGAAGTTTTCTGTTTGTTTTTTTTCTGTTTGTCGTTTTGTCGCTTTTCTGTTTCTTGTCTGAAGCCCGTCTGCGCCTTCGTCTCACCCCTCCGGTCCGCTCACTAAACCTCGAGCTGCTCATCTGTGTCGACCTGAAACAAAAACCCACAACACGTGACTGCGTGTTTTCTCAGACTAGCTGGAAGAACGGCCACTCTTTAACCTGCTCACCCGCCGCTGACCCGCTGCCTGGAGGAGACCAGACGCTGGGCGACAGCAGAGCGGACATGAAACCAAAGCTACATATAAGGCGTGGGTTTTCCACTCGTATCAGGGCTGCTGCCCCCACTGGCCTTCCTGGCAGAGGCTCAGAGCAGATCTGCTGCTGTTAGCTTAACAGAATCCTTGCGTGGCACGACGGCTGATCTGTGCAGTAGTTCAGTGGGTTTGCTGTGAGCCTTCGTCCTGCCGTCTGACCTGCTCCAGCCCCTCATACATCTCATAGAGCCCCACCTCCCCCCCTCCAGTGTATCTGACCCATCTGTGCTAAGCTGCAGGTTGACCTCCCCCCAGACTTTGAACATATCATTCCTTTTGATGGAAAGAGTTTGAAACGATAGAGTGGATGTACAGTGTCATGTGAGGACGCCACCTTCATTCATCTCATCCTCCGCTCACGGCTCGCTGTACAGAAGATGTTCTGTTATTGTTCTGACTAAGGATCGTTTCCTCTGAAGCCACCGTGGTGCTGCAGGCGTCGCTCGTGTCAACATACTGATGTGGTTTAAGGAGAGCTGCCCATCACTGCCCCGCGTCCTGTCTCCATCCCACAACCAGCCGCTCTGCGTATTCGGTTGCTGAAGCTGTTTTCTCTGTTAACTCGTCCCTCTGAGTCAGTATTAGCCGGCGTCGCCTCGGCAGCAGCGAGCGGCTTCGTCCGTCTCCGTGTGAAACGTTTGCGCCTGATGATGAAATCCCTTCGTGTTTCTTTCTCCTTCAGAAACTGCCTTTTTTTTGTTTGTGCATTAACGTGGTATGAGGAACACGCGTCGTCTTCTGAAGAACTCGGCCTCCTCGTAGAGCTCTCTCTGAGGTACTTGATGTTTGAATTTTTTGTGTTTCAAGTCACCGACCCCGTCCAGCGCAACCTAACCTTGTAGTAGCAAGAAGAGAACTGACTCGGTAGCGTCTCTGTTCATATATATACCGGTAAGGCCCCTTCACACCTGTCTGCTGTTGTAGATAAACGATGATGATGATGATGATGTCTGTGACCTGGAGGTCGGGTCCGCCGCTCCACTAGATCTTCAGTCCAGTAGTAGAGTCTGTGCACAGAGGTGATCAGCTGTTTCTTCAGGAATGTCAATAGAAAATAAACCTGTATGTTACTCCTGCTCCTGAAAACGACTGATATCCCAGAAACGACTCCTTAATCATCCCGATGATTCTGATCATTCTGTGCATAATATTAGATTAAAATTTGTATATTGCATGATTAGGAATGTACACTTTTTATTTCCCTTTTTTTTTCTCCTGTTCCACAAACAAAAACTCGTCATTCCATTTCTTTTTTTTTTTTTTTTTTAAATGAAGTTTACTTGACCATTCTCTATTTTTGATGGTATTGTGTTTTTATCTATTCTCAGTTCAGACAATTAAAAAAAGAAAAGAAAAGGAAAGCTATCATTGAATGTTTTAAATTATTGAACACGCGGGAAGGACGGGGGGTTCTGTTCGGGGTTCTGTTCGGTGTCGCCGCGCCGACGGCTCGGGGCTCCCAACCAAAAGAAGCCGTGTACTGAGGGGCGACCCACTCTGTCTTAATTCTCTGTTGGTTCGGTTGTAGTGAGTTATTTTACCAAGTTTGGCTTGTGACATTGACAAATATACTCTCATATGACGGATTTCTAATGGTCATGTCTTTTTATTTCTCCATCTTCAACTATCCAGCTGTACAATGTCATGTTTTAAAAAGGGGACAGCATAAATTATCTACATTCCCTTTACAGAAAGTCCACCTAAATTAAAAGAATAAAGGCTGTGACAAGCTGCTCTTGTCTATTTTTTGTGTGTGTGTGTGTTACAGTGAACCAATAAACGCCCACAAATGCCAAACATGTGGTGTGTTTGTGAACTGGGAGACAGCTGATTGATAAGCCAGTGACGTGCGTGCAGAGGAGGAGGTTTGGCGTCGGAGCTGTTTAACCCCAACAAACACTGATTCATTCTCAGAACTTTAACCATTTAAATGCCGTGGTTTCTGTGTGAATAAATATTAAACATGAAATATTCTTGTGTACTAAATATGGAAAATACAGTTTGGGATACATTAGCAATGTGCAAAACAGCTGATTCTGATGCTTCAGTATTTTTATGCTGTAAAAAGCAGAATCAGGACCTTAAAGACAAAAGCGTTTGTCAAAAAACACATAAAAAGCTGTATATTCATATTATTTTCCACTTTTATTTTGCTACTTTTTAAACCAACATTAGTCCTGATCATACCTGCACATATTTAATAATTTTGTTCACATAGTACCACTGTGTGTTTTAAAAAAAATAAATACTAAATGAATTGTTTTCCATATACTAAATGCTGAAATAAACCTTTGAGTTTGAATTATTTTCGTCTCAGTTGAGCAACAGCAGTGATTCAGATGTAATATTTCTGTTTTGTACAGAAACAGATTTGAAAAAACTTCACATTCGAGGCTTTAAAGACAAAAATGTCCAAGAAAAGAAAGAAAAAAACGGCCATAAAACATGGTATATATTATTATTATTTTCAACCTTCACTGCTTTTTTAATCCAACATCAGTCCTGATTGTAACGAGAACATAATCTGTAAGTTTTAGGATTTCAACCCTTTTAATCCCAGTTTGTTTACACAATAAAACTGTTCTTTTTATTGAAAAAGAAAATGTAATATTCTGAATTTTCTGAATTTACTAAAGTCTGGGATCAGTGATTGGCAGCAACACTGATTCTGAGCCTCATTATTTTTGTGCAGTGTCAGACTTGAAAAAATAAAACTCACAATCAGGACTTTAAAGACCAAAATGTTATACATTAATATTATTTTGTACTTTCATGGAGGTAAATCTTTTAACCAACTCCTGTCTTGATCATGATTAAATAATTATTCATTCATTTTCAGAATTTTAACCCTTTAAATGCTAATTTGTTTACATATTGCAAGTGTTGTTGTTTTATTATAATTTTATTATAATTATAATTATAATTATTTTTATTATTATTCATACATTAAATGCTAAAGGGAACATTTTTGTTTTGATTACCACATTTACTTTTTTCTAAAGTTTTTAAACCTAAAAAAAAGTATCTGATTCTGAGGTGGTCAAGAGGGAACCTTTTTCTGATTATTTATGTGAAACTAACGTTTGATGTCCTGCTTTGAACTCCACTTCCCAGGAAGCTTTGCGCGGCAGCAGAAGTAATCGAGACCTCTGCTGACTGACAGCGAGCAGCTGAGTTGAGAAAAGTTCAGGAGACCAAACGGCGGCTTTTAGATTTACTGTTTTCCGTAGAACTGGTCGGTTTGGACTCCAGGGTCGCTCAGCAGAACTCCTCTCATGTCTGACAGCAACACACCTGAAACTGGAGGCAGGCTAGCGCGCTGTAGCATCGCCAAGCTAGCACCGGTCACAAGAGGCTTCCGGCGTGGACTTAGAAAATAAGACACCAGCTCAAAACGTTAAGATTTACCAGATATCATAGTGAAGTATAATGTAGTTCAGTTAACTTTGGCCTTAAAGAACAGGGACTTAACTGAATTTCAGAAATGTCAGTCAGAGAGTTTAGAAGTCACAGACTGATATAAGTTAATCTAGAGAAAGACGGACTCCTCCAGGAAGAATTATTTTCTTCTAGGAAAACAGTAACCTTCAGGGAACCTTCAGGGAACAGTTTGTTGCACATGATAATAAATATTACATATGATCAGGAAATGTTGTACATGAAATTTAAATTACTGCACATGATAATTAAATATTGCAGGTGCTACTGAAACAGATATTTCACAAAGTATTGAGGGAGTAACACTGATATCATTGTATGTAGGGGTCCAATGATTCAGCTCTGTAATATACATTTTGGACATTCATACATTTTACGTACTTACAGGCATTGTTAATACATTTCACGCTGTATAACTACTGTTTTTATCTAGGGTTTTGTTAGTTTTTATATAGGTTTTTGTTAATTTTCTAGGTCACTAGACTACTATTTATTTTATTTTTTATTTGATCATTATTACAGCTGTACTCGTATCTATTCTCACACATTTACACTAATCTTAATGCTATTCCATTTCTCACGTTGCACTGCACTTTTACTGCCTCTTTTGCACTTCTGAGTGGATGCTAAACTGGATTTTGTTGGTTTTTGTTCCCTGTGAAAACGCAGTCAAGTTGAAGCCAACTGAGTCGAGGCTTTATTTTGAAAGCCGCAGCCGGAACTTCCTCCGCTAAGCTGCGCGCCTTGCCAGCAGCAGGTTCAGATGGTCGTTAATAACTGGGATTGTTCAGAACAACAGAGGAAGGCGAGCAGCTCCGACCGAACGCAGCCCGGTGGCGTTTTTATTTAAAAAANTCCTCCTCCTCTGTCGTTCCTCTGCACTCTGAGCTCTGTGGTCCCTCCTTCGTACTCGCTGTTGTTTTACAGACTCATGGTGTAAACGCTCCGTCTCCTCTGCGCTGCGCTTTGATTTTTACTTCCTGGTTTTTCGGACAGCCAATCCGCTGCACTCTGACTCTGCCGCCGAGCTCCTGGTTCTGGACGCCCGGCGTCCTCTGCTCTGCCCTTTTTTTCCACCCTCCACTCTGTGACAGTCGTGTAATGTGATGTTGACAACTGGACTTTTTTCTCTCTTTTTTTCTTTTTTTTTGCTGTTTATGGTTGAATTGTATTTTTACTGTTTTGAAGTTTTCTGTTTGTTTTTTTTCTGTTTGTCGTTTTGTCGCTTTTCTGTTTCTTGTCTGAAGCCCGTCTGCGCCTTCGTCTCACCCCTCCGGTCCGCTCACTAAACCTCGAGCTGCTCATCTGTGTCGACCTGAAACAAAAACCCACAACACGTGACTGCGTGTTTTCTCAGACTAGCTGGAAGAACGGCCACTCTTTAACCCGCTCACCCGCCGCTGACCCGCTGCCTGGAGGAGACCAGACGCTGGGCGACAGCAGAGCGGACATGAAACCAAAGCTACATATAAGGCGTGGGTTTTCCACTCGTATCAGGGCTGCTGCCCCCACTGGCCTTCCTGGCAGAGGCTCAGAGCAGATCTGCTGCTGTTAGCTTAACAGAATCCTTGCGTGGCACGACGGCTGATCTGTGCAGTAGTTCAGTGGGTTTGCTGTGAGCCTTCGTCCTGCCGTCTGACCTGCTCCAGCCCCTCATACGTCTCATAGAGCCCCACCTCCCCCCCTCCAGTGTATCTGACCCATCTGTGCTAAGCTGCAGGTTGACCTCCCCCCAGACTTTGAACATATCATTCCTTTTGATGGAAAGAGTTTGAAACGATAGAGTGGATGTACAGTGTCATGTGAGGACGCCACCTTCATTCATCTCATCCTCCGCTCACGGCTCGCTGTACAGAAGATGTTCTGTTATTGTTCTGACTAAGGATCGTTTCCTCTGAAGCCACCGTGGTGCTGCAGGCGTCGCTCGTGTCAACATACTGATGTGGTTTAAGGAGAGCTGCCCATCACTGCCCCGCGTCCTGTCTCCATCCCACAACCAGCCGCTCTGCGTATTCGGTTGCTGAAGCTGTTTTCTCTGTTAACTCGTCCCTCTGAGTCAGTATTAGCCGGCGTCGCCTCGGCAGCAGCGAGCGGCTTCGTCCGTCTCCGTGTGAAACGTTTGCGCCTGATGATGAAATCCCTTCGTGTTTCTTTCTCCTTCAGAAACTGCCTTTTTTTTGTTTGTGCATTAACGTGGTATGAGGAACACGCGTCGTCTTCTGAAGAACTCGGCCTCCTCGTAGAACTCTCTCTGAGGTACTTGATGTTTGAATTTTTTGTGTTTCAAGTCACCGACCCCGTCCAGCGCAACCTAACCTTGTAGTAGCAAGAAGAGAACTGACTCGGTAGCGTCTCTGTTCATATATATACCGGTAAGGCCCCTTCACACCTGTCTGCTGTTGTAGATAAACGATGATGATGATGATGATGTCTGTGACCTGGAGGTCGGGTCCGCCGCTCCACTAGATCTTCAGTCCAGTAGTAGAGTCTGTGCACAGAGGTGATCAGCTGTTTCTTCAGGAATGTCAATAGAAAATAAACCTGTATGTTACTCCTGCTCCTGAAAACGACTGATATCCCAGAAACGACTCCTTAATCATCCCGATGATTCTGATCATTCTGTGCATAATATTAGATTAAAATTTGTATATTGCATGATTAGGAATGTACACTTTTTATTTCCCTTTTTTTTTCTCCTGTTCCACAAACAAAAACTCGTCATTCCATTTCTTTTTTTTTTTTTTTTTTAAATGAAGTTTACTTGACCATTCTCTATTTTTGATGGTATTGTGTTTTTATCTATTCTCAGTTCAGACAATTAAAAAAAGAAAAGAAAAGGAAAGCTATCATTGAATGTTTTAAATTATTGAACACGCGGGAAGGACGGGGGGTTCTGTTCGGGGTTCTGTTCGGTGTCGCCGCGCCGACGGCTCGGGGCTCCCAACCAAAAGAAGCCGTGTACTGAGGGGCGACCCACTCTGTCTTAATTCTCTGTTGGTTCGGTTGTAGTGAGTTATTTTACCAAGTTTGGCTTGTGACATTGACAAATATACTCTCATATGACGGATTTCTAATGGTCATGTCTTTTTATTTCTCCATCTTCAACTATCCAGCTGTACAATGTCATGTTTTAAAAAGGGGACAGCATAAATTATCTACATTCCCTTTACAGAAAGTCCACCTAAATTAAAAGAATAAAGGCTGTGACAAGCTGCTCTTGTCTATTTTTTGTGTGTGTGTGTGTTACAGTGAACCAATAAACGCCCACAAATGCCAAACATGTGGTGTGTTTGTGAACTGGGAGACAGCTGATTGATAAGCCAGTGACGTGCGTGCAGAGGAGGAGGTTTGGCGTCGGAGCTGTTTAACCCCAACAAACACTGATTCATTCTCAGAACTTTAACCATTTAAATGCCGTGGTTTCTGTGTGAATAAATATTAAACATGAAATATTCTTGTGTACTAAATATGGAAAATACAGTTTGGGATACATTAGCAATGTGCAAAACAGCTGATTCTGATGCTTCAGTATTTTTATGCTGTAAAAAGCAGAATCAGGACCTTAAAGACAAAAGCGTTTGTCAAAAAACACATAAAAAGCTGTATATTCATATTATTTTCCACTTTTATTTTGCTACTTTTTAAACCAACATTAGTCCTGATCATACCTGCACATATTTAATAATTTTGTTCACATAGTACCACTGTGTGTTTTAAAAAAAATAAATACTAAATGAATTGTTTTCCATATACTAAATGCTGAAATAAACCTTTGAGTTTGAATTATTTTCGTCTCAGTTGAGCAACAGCAGTGATTCAGATGTAATATTTCTGTTTTGTACAGAAACAGATTTGAAAAAACTTCACATTCGAGGCTTTAAAGACAAAAATGTCCAAGAAAAGAAAGAAAAAAACGGCCATAAAACATGGTATATATTATTATTATTTTCAACCTTCACTGCTTTTTTAATCCAACATCAGTCCTGATTGTAACGAGAACATAATCTGTAAGTTTTAGGATTTCAACCCTTTTAATCCCAGTTTGTTTACACAATAAAACTGTTCTTTTTATTGAAAAAGAAAATGTAATATTCTGAATTTTCTGAATTTACTAAAGTCTGGGATCAGTGATTGGCAGCAACACTGATTCTGAGCCTCATTATTTTTGTGCAGTGTCAGACTTGAAAAAATAAAACTCACAATCAGGACTTTAAAGACCAAAATGTTATACATTAATATTATTTTGTACTTTCATGGAGGTAAATCTTTTAACCAACTCCTGTCTTGATCATGATTAAATAATTATTCATTCATTTTCAGAATTTTAACCCTTTAAATGCTAATTTGTTTACATATTGCAAGTGTTGTTGTTTTATTATAATTTTATTATAATTATAATTATAATTATTTTTATTATTATTCATACATTAAATGCTAAAGGGAACATTTTTGTTTTGATTACCACATTTACTTTTTTCTAAAGTTTTTAAACCTAAAAAAAAGTATCTGATTCTGAGGTGGTCAAGAGGGAACCTTTTTCTGATTATTTATGTGAAACTAACGTTTGATGTCCTGCTTTGAACTCCACTTCCCAGGAAGCTTTGCGCGGCAGCAGAAGTAATCGAGACCTCTGCTGACTGACAGCGAGCAGCTGAGTTGAGAAAAGTTCAGGAGACCAAACGGCGGCTTTTAGATTTACTGTTTTCCGTAGAACTGGTCGGTTTGGACTCCAGGGTCGCTCAGCAGAACTCCTCTCATGTCTGACAGCAACACACCTGAAACTGGAGGCAGGCTAGCGCGCTGTAGCATCGCCAAGCTAGCACCGGTCACAAGAGGCTTCCGGCGTGGACTTAGAAAATAAGACACCAGCTCAAAACGTTAAGATTTACCAGATATCATAGTGAAGTATAATGTAGTTCAGTTAACTTTGGCCTTAAAGAACAGGGACTTAGCTGAATTTCAGAAATGTCAGTCAGAGAGTTTAGAAGTCACAGACTGATATAAGTTAATCTAGAGAAAGACGGACTCCTCCAGGAAGAATTATTTTCTTCTAGGAAAACAGTAACCTTCAGGGAACCTTCAGGGAACAGTTTGTTGCACATGATAATAAATATTACATATGATCAGGAAATGTTGTACATGAAATTTAAATTACTGCACATGATAATTAAATATTGCAGGTGCTACTGAAACAGATATTTCACAAAGTATTGAGGGAGTAACACTGATATCATTGTATGTAGGGGTCCAATGATTCAGCTCTGTAATATACATTTTGGACATTCATACATTTTACGTACTTACAGGCATTGTTAATACATTTCACGCTGTATAACTACTGTTTTTATCTAGGGTTTTGTTAGTTTTTATATAGGTTTTTGTTAATTTTCTAGGTCACTAGGCTACTATTTATTTTATTTGATCATTATTACAGCTGTACTCGTATCTATTCTCGCACATTTACACTAATCTTAATGCTATTCCATTTCTCACGTTGCACTGCACTTTCACTGCCTCTTTTGCACTTCTGATTGGATGCTAAACTGGATTTTGTTGGTTTTTGTTCCCTGTGAAAACACAGTCAAGTTGAAGCCAACTGAGTCGAGGCTTTATTTTGAAAGCCGCAGCCGGAACTTCCTCCGCTAAGCTGCGCGCCTTGCCAGCAGCAGGTTCAGATGGTCGTTAATAACTGGGATTGTTCAGAACAACAGAGGAAGGCGAGCAGCTCCGACCGAACGCAGCCCGGTGGCGTTTTTATTTAAAAAAATAAATTTTAAAAAAATAATCCCGTTTTATTTATTTTTTTATTATTTTCTGCTGTGAACACGAACCGAACCGAGGAGCAACGTTGCGACGGGCTTCGTCCTCCGGCTGGTAGCTGCTGTGTGTGTTTTTTTTTTCTTCTTCTTCTTCTTTTTTCTTTTTTTTTTTCTCTCCTCTTTACACCGAGCTAGCTTCGTCCTTCGCCAGTCGCAGCTCTTCTGGTGGGTCGCTGAAGATATTTGCTGGAACCGCGGCGGAATATGGCTCAGCATGGACATCATGTAGCCAGTTCCCAGAAAGCACTCATGCTGGAGATGAAAAGTCTCCAGGACGAGCCGGTGGAAGGCTTCAAGATAACTTTGGTGGACGAGTCGGACATGTACAACTGGGAAGTGGCGATATTCGGACCCCCGAACACACACTACGAGGGTGGTTATTTTAAGGTGAGTGGCTAATGTTAGCTAGCTATTGTTCTTTAGCTGCTTAGTTTGCTGGACGTTTAAGTGGCTTTTTTTTATTATTTACTCATAAAGCACAGCCGTTAACCTCCCTGCTTGTCGTGTGAGCCCTGTTTGTTTTTTTTTTTTTTTTTTTTTTAGTAGTTTCTTGCTAGCAGGTTAATAACGTTAACTGGGCTAATTAAACAAGTTGCCCCGTTTCGCTTTGGCCATAAAACACACACAGCTCTTTGTTCAACTTTAAACCAACTCCAGCAGCAGCTCCAGCTCAACGAACACCTTCGTTTCTGTTGGTTTTTATTGTTTTTTAACCTCCATTTTTTAAAATGTGAAAGCCCAGATTTGTCCAGGGCCCTGACAGGGAGCTGGTCTGACACTTACTTTTATGTTGGCGTTAAACAAAAGCTGGTTAGCATGACCGCCTCCAGCTAACTGAACGGAGCCGCTCATCAGCAGCAGCAGCTAACCAACTCATCACCGCCTTTTGTGTTCGTCTGTGCACATCAGCAGGTTCACAGGGCTGTTTGTTGTTGTTGTTGTTGTTGTTGTTGTTGTTGTTGTTGTTGTGTTTGTTCACATTCAGTCAGAGGAGCCACATCCATGAAGCGTGTCACCCCTGAGTCTGAGCATCTTGTACCTCCTGTTAGAGCCACTCAGCTTGTTTCCTATTTTGGGGGAAACTCTTCAAAATGTGCTTTCAGTTTAGAAAAAATGGTTAAATTTAGCCACTTGTGCACCACAAGTCTAGAAGTTAAATCTCCACCACACATCCAGATCTACACTTTGATAAAGTGAGACCTAAAACAGGACACCGACCAGGTGTGTAACAGCTCACAGGTGATTTATTCGACCAGTTTCTTCCTGAAGGCCGCCTCATGAAGCAGCTTTATTCAAATGACAGGAACGGTCCAGACCTGGCAGCTGGATCGAAACCCTCAAACATCCACAGCTTCACCGTTTGTCGTCCAGAATGTCCTCCAACTTCACCCAGTGCTTCAGGAGCATCAGGATCACATCCCAGCACCACCAGTAGCACCAGCAGCACCATTAGCATGGTGTGACTTGTTGCTGACTTTGATCATTAAGTCTTTAGTAGGGATGCGATGCGTTAGCTCGCTATTCCTTTATGTTAAACGAACGGTTTGAGTTTAATAAAGTGTGACATTTGTGCGTCTGTTCAGGATATTTGATTTGCTCTGTAGCGCACTTCCTCCCTCGAGGCTAAAGATGTGTTGGTTGCACAGATGTGTTGTTCCTGTTTATGAGCTTCTTCCAAAAGAGGCAGACAGTTTACGCAACATCCACTAACTCACTAATATTTGTCTTGGTTTAAAAAAAGAAAAATCTGTCGCGCTTGGCTGATGCTCAGCTGTACCTCTGATTTGTTAACTCCTGGCTGTGAACACAGTTTCTGTACCTGACTCATCAGACGCTACACACCTACACTGTAAATACACAATAGTCTTGCGTTTGTTGCCGCACCAGACGGCCCGCTTTGGTTCTGTCTCCGACCGCTGAGGATGTTACCAAACACCGTTCAGATGTGGTTGTTCATCCTGCTACTGATTGATCACCTCGTCTGGAAACTTCACTGACGTTGTTGTTTTATTGTACAGCAAATAGAAGATGATGAGCCGTGATTTAAGCAGCGTACCAATCTGTCATAGTGAGAGAAAAACCTAAAATACAGGGTTAGGATTAGGCTCCACCGACTCAGATTTTATTCAGTGTCCTTATTTGGGACCCCAAACTGAGCTCTGTGTTATGTTCTGGAGGCAACTTATGACGATATATAGACCCCTATACGCACCAGTTTCTGTGATCCTACACGAGTCCATGTCACCCAGTAGGAAATAAAATCAAATAACTGAAATAATCTAGGAGGAAAACTTGCTTCAGATGTTGCTGAGAAGGAAATTACAATTACATGAGAATATATTTAGCACCTCATGGAGAAAGCAATAAGATATAAGCTTCATATATGTTAGTAAAATAAAGATAAGTGAGCTAAAGGAAGACTGAAATAGAAAAGTGGTGGTACTGATGATGACTCTGAGGTAATACTGCTCATCATCATACATTCATACATCCGTGTATTTACACTTACAGGAACGTTCTGGTGCATCAGTACCACCTTTGTTTCAAAGTTTTGCACTTTTTCATTTTTAAGGGCCAATAGTTGGAAAAAAGAAAAAGGCCTCTGCTGGAGCCATTTACCTCTTTTTGGGTTTTCTGGAAACACTTTTCTGTGTCCTCAGCAGGTTTAATGGCTCAGGGATTAAATCTGTGGAAATATTGAACCTTAAATGTGGCGTCCGAGTGAAGAGGATGTTTATTTTTTCTCATGTGTGACGAAATTCTCAAAATTCAGCCAAAATGTTTCATCCGACTCAGGTTTTGGGACATTGCTGAACATTTGAAAACAGTTTATCAGCATTTTTCCTGCATTCTTTCTGAATTGACTCAGATTGATCCAAATCGGAAGCAATAACAGAATCAGATTCTTCGTGGTGTTTTAATGACGGCTTGTTGTCTTGGGCTCAAAATGACAAGTCAGGTTATTGTTGTGTGTAACCGCTGTGACGTCTTGGATCACGTTAAACTCGTATCCTCCCTCCAGCTCCAGAGAACTTTGTCATTCCAGTTCTTGAGAAGCTCATTGATTTTCGCTCTGGTCTGTTTCAAGCCCATGAACGCAGCAGCGGGCCCCAGCCGGGCTGCCGTAGACGGTGTTGAGCGCGTCTGTGTGGTTGCTGTGTACAGGATTCCTTTGTCGGGCCAGGAATGCACAGCCTGGCTGTGAAATCCACCGCATGGCTGTGACTCATTGTTCTGGGCTCGGTTTCCATCCAACCAGTTTGCCATATTCTAACGAGAAAAAAAAGAAAAAAAATAGAAAGCAGCACCTCGTTTCGACCACGTTGCCCAAACAAACAATCAGTCGTGACACGCCGCAGCTGCCTGCTCGTCTGAACCGGGCCAGGTGCTGACGTCACGCCAAACCTGGCTGAGTCAGGTATTTGTTTCACATGGGTGTTGTTCTAAACGAGTCGCTCCATGACGACGGGCCACAGTGGGCCGACACATACCGAAGTGTCACTCAGACAGGACTGGATGGGTCCACGCTGCACAGCTGCACACAGCACCTGGTCTGAACAAACTGATGGCTGACCTGCAGGTTTCACACGCTGAGATTCATTCAGTGGCTCGTGTGTGTCTTCTGCTCCGTCATGTGAAGCATCCCTGCAGGCCGAGTGTCTGATGACTGCTGGCTGAGGCCCAGTTCGTCCCACAGCCGGCTGTGGTCTCGGGACACGTATGAACCTGAGCAGCTGAGATGGATCTAGAGCCGCGATGATTAATTGATGAGTTGTCAGCTGTTAAATTAATCGCTGACTGTTCTGATAATTGATTTGAGTAATTTTCTAAGAGGAAAAAGTCCAAATTCTTCTGGTTTCTTTCCGCCTCTGTGACTGTAAACTGGATGTCTGTAGGTTGTGGACAGAACAAGACGTTAGCAGACGTTAGCTTTGGGAAACGCTGACCCACATTTTTCACTATTTTTCTGTCGATTATTTTAGAAAACAGGCAACACATTAATCAACAAAGACAGTCATAGTTAGCTGCAGCTAGCTGGATGCTACAGACGATGAGGAGTGTTTAACCAGCGGCTTGGTTTGTATGAGGGATGCACATTTTCAACAGTTTCCTTTGCTGTTAGTTGGCAGCCTCATCAATCAATAATCGATTACATGCACTGAGTGCAGTGAACATCATTTCACATACCATACAGATATTTTTAACAACAGACATGTGATATGAGCTGCTGTTATGGTTTGGTTACGTAAACCAGTGGGCTGTAGCTACGATGTCCTGGTTGTCAGCAGACATTAACCGCCACAGAGGACTTGGTCACGGTTCCCCGTTGCTTCCTAAAGTCACGCAGTGCTCCCTGCAGACCAAAATAAAACCGCAGATAGTCCGAGTGACGCCCCCTCAGGTCGCTACTGTGTTAAACTGTAAGAGGCTCCACCTGGTGGAACAACCGGGTACTGCAGATGATCTTTGTAACATGCGTGTCCATGTTGTGCTTCATCGGTTCATATTTTTTTGATTTGTTAAAATAATAACAGCAGCTGGTTGATTAACGGTCAGTCTTTGACGTCCCTACTCTGTGTGTTGGTATCGAACACGTTCAGTTTGCGTGACACGTCGACTCTGTTTAGTCCTCCACGTCGCTAATCTGAGCCTTAAATGTGAAAACCTTTTCTAATGTGGACTTTTTGAAATATCCTTCATGCAGCTGCACAGTTTCTGCTGCTTGATCCTCTCTCTAGCGACTCTTTCTTTCTCCTCACGTTCGTTTGTCCCGTCTTACAATCACTGTTTGATTTCTACATGTTCTCACAGATTTGTTTGTGGAGGAGCTGTTTGCTTTAAGTTTTCATTCAGCTTTTCAGGAATGTGGCGTCTCCTGATCTGTCCGTCACAAAACTCGCTCAGTGAAGTGATGACAAAGGAGGAACCGTCGTGGATCACAGTTCTGTCTCTGTTCACGGGGAATCAGATCCAAGTGTTCATGAAATAACATCACACTCCAGTTAAACCCACACAACAACAACAGCAGCAACTGAAACATTAATCAGAAGCTCAGCCCCTCGTTGCAAATACTGTTTGATTTTTACAGATTCTCACAGATCTATTTGTTGCGGAGCTGTTTGCTTGGGATTTGAATTTTGCCATCTTTTCATGTTGCAGGTTTGCCACCAAATACATCCCAAAATGATCTGAGTTAAATGGTCAACATGGAGGGACAGTAGCCTAGCATCACGCTGCTGCATTCTTTTGTCCACCAGGAATTGGATCCAAGTGTTTCTATGAAATCACACTCCAGTTAAAACCACACAACAGCCAGTATTCAGCGTGATTTCTGACAAACTGATAGGAGTCACAGCTCCTCGTTATTGTTTGGTTGTCACGTGTTC